ACTGATATTCCTATATCATGCTACTTTGAATTAATGGCTAACTACTGAAATCTCTATTTAAGAAAAGTTGTCAGTCCATAGCCTTGACCCAGTTCTGGCCTGCTGACGAGGTTTTATGGACCTTTATGTTTGAATCATTTAGTGTGTGTTCCTTAGGCTGGTTCTAATGCCATGACGTCCATATGATTCACAAGCAACCATGGCCTTGAATGTCACAGCAGGCCCGGCGATAATATAATATTAATATATTGCAGAGTGCATGCAGAGAGGTAGGTAGGTAGACAGGCATGGGATTTTTGCACATAAGGGAAAAAAAGATGAACAGAAATTGGTGTGACATCATGTACTGTAAGCATGTGTGGATAAAAACCACTAGGCACTATAACCATTATCTAAAACTAAAACATACTGTACTGCACAAAGAATATGGAGACAAGCATCTGTGGATTATAAGCTTTCAATATTTGAAAGCTAAATTTGTGTCACCACTAGTGGTCTGCCCTTGAAGGTCAGGGCCACTTTCCTATGCTCCTTTCTGTCTAGACGGAGACACAAACGCATGTGTAAAGCTTATAATTTATCTCAGGGGGGTTGTTCAAAGATCAAAAAATTAATAAAACCTCAAATAAAAAATGGCAATTTCTCCGCTTTAAGAGTTTCTCTCACTGTGCAGTCAGTGATCACTCACTAACTCTCAAATCAGCTTTCTGGAGGTCAGCTTAATGATTGTTGAGCCCTGGCATCTCAGGAAAAAAAGAATAAAACTATAACCCTATGACATCACTCACATGACATCATACTGTATATCACCATCAAAGTACACAAGAGTCATGTTTCCTGCATTTATATATAAATCTACTAATTTATCATAAAGAATAAATAATTTTTAAAATATGTTGATAAAATAGAGGGATAAACAATCTGTCATCCAACAGGAAAAATTTTTATGATTTTGAACACAGTCACACACATTCATACACAGCTACAACACAGGAGACAGGTGATGGTGACCCAACACAAACAGACTTAAACCCTTGAGTTAAAAGCAGGGTGGTAAGTGCTGGCCAGGGGAGAACCTTAAAGCAGACCCGAGAACAGCATCTAGAGGTACACCTGCACTCAGAGTAGACAAACAAACTTCCCCAGCAGCTGGTTAAACAGCTCACACACACACGCACGCACGCACACACAAAACCTCCAGCTTCTTATTTATAACCTCGCCCACGCAGCAGAGAAGAAGGAGCCACACAGACAGACAGTAACAGCTGGCTACAGGAGTGAAGCCACAGGGTTCAGGTCACACAGGAGGAACACTGAACATTAGGTTTGGAATAACAGAGAGAGAGAGCAGTTTAGGGCTGCAGCTGACATTTTTTCAGACAACTGATTATCTATGAATTACTTTTTCTACTTAATTGTTTAAGAATATAAAATCAAAAAATAAGGAGAAATGTCCACCACAAATTTCCAAAGCCGGAGGAGATGTCTTTAAGGAGTTTTACCAAGAGCCAAAATATGCAATCCTTCATAATTGTGAAGCTGAAACAAACAATTCTTCATTTGAATTCACCTGATATGTGACTGAAAGAATTAACAGTGCTATGCTGATGTGCTGGTCAAATACGCTGCTCATCAGCTATAATTAATAGCCAAAATTTAATCTTCTGTCAGTAATTTCATCTATTTATTGAATAGTTGTTCCACGACTAGTTATCTCCTTAATTTCACAAGGAATATGATATGTGTGTACAAAAAAGTCTACAAATAAATGAACAGAAAATAGAAATTAAATTGAAAATACTTAATAAACTTAAATAAATAATTTCTAAATTGAGTGTTACATTGCTGCTGCTGCAAATCATCTTGTCCTCCATCATCTCAAACCAAATGTACAGAATATTCATGACATCTTAAACTATAGTGTTTTGGCATTACAAATTCTTGTATATACAGCAGGGAAAAAAATGACACAACAATCCACTTTATCGTGTAACTGTGTCTAAAAATAACAACAGCTTGCACAGATGTGGATATAAGAGTGCAGGTCTATGGCTTTTTTACAAGTGTCTCATTTAGTAATAAAACTCTCCAAGTGGAATGACACAAGAGGCAATGATGAATATCAAATATCAGCCCTTTGAAAAGGAATCACATCTTCAATCATGCTAATTTTGACTTGGATGAGTGACACTGTCTTGCAAGTGTGAGTGTGTGTGCGTGTCATCACATCATCAGTCTTAAGTTTATGTAACTGACTGCCAGCAGAGCATATAGTTGGGAAGATTATCACCTCCTCCTTGGCGTCTGATTAAAAGGATATCTGCATTGATGTATTAATCCTGTTGATATTGATGTAATTGGAGTGAAACAAGATCCTCTGCATGCTGATGTGTGTTTGAAAATAAGACATCAATTATTACCATTATTAAGATACCCTACAGAGGCAGTGTAACAATAGCAGAGTTGTGTGTGGTACCATTAGCTAGAACATTTGGCTGTGCAGCACAGTACTATGTTCAGATCAGATTGTATCTGTATATTTCTTTAAATCCAATAAGGCCAAAGTGTTTCCAGCAGCCCCTTTTAATAAATATTCTACTTGATATTCATAATCAAGTTAGATCTGGGATCTCCAGCAGCAGCTACTGCAGTACATGCATTTTAATGCAGACATCTGTGTGGGTGATCTGAACCTTGGAAGCTTGCGTTGCTTCAGTGTCAGCACTATGTCAAAATAAACACTATTGCCCTCTTTTCTACAGCTCCACAGTAGTGATGTGTGCACATTTCTGCTCATAATTGGGCCTTTGCCAGCTAACGTGCCTTCAGACTACGGAGAAGATCACAAATGACATTTTGAATCCACCAAACTGTTACTTATAAATTAAAATCAGTTTCGTTCTGCAACAAAATCCTAATCAATTAGTCACTACTGTGCCAACGTTAAACACAAAGCATGTCATTGAAGTATTAATTTAACAGCTGTCTGTCGTTTAAGATGACATAAATTACACAAACGATTTGGTGTCACCTTTAGATTTATAGGCCATCCATCATTAGCATATCATTGACAAACTTAGTGGATGTGGGTACTCTCTACCTTGCGCGTCGCTTCTCATATCCAGTTTGGAAGCAGTGCTGGAGTTACAGCAGGAGCATGCTGCAGCAGCGCGGACAGCTACAGGAGGCTTCGAGCTCCGTGACAACCTGGATGTGTGGAGGGTCGCCACTCCGAGCCCCGTTGTTCGTTTCGGCGGTGCAGCGTCCTACTGGTGGCGGAGATTATCGAGAGTCGGATCAACTGGGCCGCGGGAGCGCGCAGCGGCGACGCGCGCCAAGTGAGCGCAAATCAATGAGCAGCTTCTAGGGTGGGTGGATGGCAAGTAAAACAAACTACAGGGGGGCGAACACATTCTGTGCTACTATTTCCACTCCACATTTGCCTGGGATCATTCTAGACCACTATAAGAAGAATAAATCACTTAATCAATCAAATTTAAAAGTTAAAAGGCTGAATCTTCATACTCTTAATACCCTTTAGCCAGTTGAAACACATTAGATGAATGTTTAATGTGTAACAGCTTGACCTTGAATTTATTAAATGTGGTTTCCATTGTGTGAACATGAGAGAAGAATATATAATGTCATGTTCTGATTCCTCTGACACTATTCAGAAACACCTTACAATTTTGTAGTATTTACCCGATAACATTGTAACAGAGTAGATACAATTTGTTCTGATCCATCAGTGTGTGTTACTGTGCGTGCAGCATCACACACACACACACACACACACACACACACACACACACACACACACACACACAAAACATTAGCCTAGACCATGAAGATGCTTCACATGCCACTGCTATTTACATCACTGCTTTCTTTCTCGTGGGAACGATGTAGAGCTGCTTATTATAATATAAGAGGGCACAAAGGAAGTTCCTTCGAAGAATGAGATTTTCATCATTTCAACAGAATTTGAAAAATGTGACACACAGAAAATAATAAACATATATCTAATAACACAATATCTACAGTGATTAGCAGGTTTAATGTAACAGTCTCAGACTTTCAGGGTTTTTAATCTCTACTTTTTTTTCTAATTTTTTTTTTTTCTTGGTGTCACTACACTGACTTTTAGAGTGTGTAACATAGGCTTAATAAACAAACTGTAATGATTTAAAAGATACAGCAAAATGCCTTTGCATAGTTTATTGGAATAAAAACATTTTCCATGTACACTTCCCAATGTAAACCTACTGAGGAAGCTACTGCAGTGATTACATGACTTAAAGAGTCTTAAAGCAAGCGTTGTCTTTTTCTCCATCATCTTTATACAGTGTATCAGTGGGCAAATGAGATACAGTATCTCAACAGCACTGCTGGCTCTTTAATTTTGTTCTCCATTTAATTTCTATTTTCCAGCATCAACTTACTTTTCATGTTATACTTTTTGGCAAAGGTTTCTTTCATAACATCATTTGAAAATTAATTTCCTGTTTAGGTCAGATGTTGTAATAACAACAGGGAGTGCCCGACATACATGAATTTCCTGTTTGTGTCAGAGGTTGTAATAACAACAGAGATATTCAAACATACATGCTATTCCCCAGCAGTCATTCATAGCAATGTAATCATAGTTTTCAGTGGAGTTGCATTTAATAGGGTAAAAAATACAGCTGGAATATAGAGAAGTATAGATATTTTAAAGTGAGGCATTTCTCTGAATGGAGCTGAAAACTCTGTAAAGGGAGTACTAGGGGACACATGGATGCAGTCCCTCTGGAAACCAGAGGGACTGCATCCTCAGTGCACCTGTTACCTCTCAGAGAAGGTGCACTGAGGAGGGACAGTCAGACAATAAAGTGGCTTTTCATTCAGTTAAAGCTGTACTGTATCAATACGTCTTCCCATCCACTAGATGGAGTCATTTTCAGCTAAACATCATCCATTATATTCAAACAATGCCATGGACCCAAATGATTCCCAACAAATTCCTTTCTACAAGTTTATTGAGCTTTTTACTACAACACTCACATACAATACAGCATAGTGATGAGTCTATATATACAGAAATTATGCACGGTGGTTCTTCACGTAATCATGTTGACGCTACAGTATAGGCATACAGAAATAAATAAAACAAACATTTCTCTTAACAAAGTTAGCGTGTACCTTTATTTTGCATTTTACTATGTCATGACACGCTGTTTTACTTACAAGATTAACAATATATAGCACATGTATTTTAGATATGTTTAAATCAGACAGTGGAACAGCAGGTGACAATATAGTACACATTTCCCCCTCCTCAAATTTATTTATTACACTTAAAACATGATGTCAAATAGAGGGTCTGCTTGGACACGTACAGTAGGGTTTGACCAGGTGCAGGTTTTCATTTTAGATGGCATGTGACAGAATGGCGATGTTATATACTATGTATAAAATGGTGTTATTTCTCTAATGTTAACTTTATCATACAGTGCATCTGCTAAGCCTCGAAGAACACACACTCGCCTGATTGTTCATCAGCAATCACATGGTTTTAAGTCTATGGGGAAGACAGTGGTGGTGGCCTGTGGTGGCTGTGATTGTGAATGTGAAGCCCTGAGATGTTGTTAATGCCAGCAGGAGCATGAGACAGTGCTGTCATAAATGAGGCTGCTAAGAATCAGACGACTGGGGAGGGACACTCACATTACGTACTGGGGTCCTATTTGAACAAATTTACACGGAGAAATCCAGTCATTGGATGTAATGCACTGAACTTTACATAGAGAAATATTTTTCTACAGAAAAGTGAAGATTGTTTTTTGCAAATATTAAAATGCGCAACTGTGATCAAATATGCGGTCAACGTGTAAACAGAAAACAGAAATTTTAAATTAACTCTTTTTCTCACTTATATGTTCGTGTTCCTTTAAAAGCTGTGTGTTAGTTATATTTCCTTTAAGAATGACACACTTCTGGTCTAATCTGTCATTTAACTCAGTGACTCAGCTCAATCCAAACAACTCTTCGTTACCCACCTAAGGCATGCTGCTTTCTGCTATCCTGATTGGCTGGTCAGGATTTCTCACAGAAGAATAACAGCACGACCTGCAAGCTACAAACAACAAGCTTCAGCCAAACGGTCTGTCCATCCCACACTGGTGGCTGCTCAGTTGGGGACTCGTTTTCAGACACTCGTTGGACTTTTGACGGTTCTGATTAAAAAGCACTGAATCACTGAATAACTTCCATACAGGGGCTTAAAGGGGCTTGCGATATTCACTTATTTTTTTAAATCAAAATGTAAATAACACAGTGGAAGTATATCAATAGTGTAACTATACATTAGAGGAGACAAAGCAGGTTTCATGAATCCAGCCTTACCAGGTGCCAAATAGATGCATCAGAATGTTGTACTTTTCTTTTGATAATAAACTTGACACTGTCTGACGGGTGCTCTGCAGCAGCAGAACATTTTTGCAAGCACTTTTTCAGCCCAGCTCTGATCTTGTTATATGATGGGGCATACGCAGATTCCTTCAGTGTATGAGTTAACTTCAGGAGAACATAACTACTGCTCTGGTAAGAGCATTTAAATCTACTTACAGCTATTGGTGTACTAAAGTTGCAACTTTCTCTAGAAACCCTAAGATCAGCTCTTATACAGTGTTTGAAAGTATGTTGTATAACTATCCTGTGTTAAGTGATTAATGAGTAGCTCTAGAGGTAGTAATTACAAATGTATGCACATGACAGCGTGTTAGTTTGATCATGAGAAATCAGCTCTTGTTAAGGCTCCGTATGAAGACGTGTGGGTGCAATGCTGGGAGGGACACATTAAATGGGCGTGGGCAGCATTACTTGAAATGTACAGTGGCATACAGCTGCAACATCACAGTATCAAAGCAATTACAAAAGGTTTCCTCGATACACACTACTACTATACTCGATCTGGGCTGGGTTTCCCTGAATCATGTTGCATCCTATGCCCTCTTCTTATAAAATAAAACTAGGCCCAGATGTGTTTTATGTCATTTTCATGTGTTTAAGTCACATTAACACAATAGCCCAGTTTTACTATATAACAGAAAATATAAAGCGCTGACACCAGGATTAGGATTAAGGAAAACCAGTTCTCTCTTTCTCTGTGTGACATCTGTCGTAGTCGATCAGACGGTTCACTCGCAAGCATACCAGCTCCTGACATGAATCAGGGTACATGCAAAGGTTTGAAAGCTAACCCGCTAAGCGATATGCATGCAGAGTGTGGGTCTTCTGTTACAAGCTGGCGTTACACACTATGCTCTTATTTACGACAGAGAAAAAGGTCACGTCTGCCTACAGTTTGTCATCCGCATGATGCCCTTAAGAAGATGTGTGCAGGGGATGGTGGAGGTGTGCATTCACACAAACAGTTGCTGGTCAAAAACCTCTACTGGAGTGTACGGCACTATTATTTACAACATGTGTGTACTTAATAATCAGGGATGGAGTCAGCCCCATTTCAGTTCAACCACCTCGGGAGGTAATCAGCTTCAGTGATATCTGTTGACAAATTGATTGGCTGAGGAATTGACGAATTGATTAAGTGGACGTTCTGTATATAAAAAAAGATGATTTAATTAACTTCCTTCACCGACTGAACTGGAAGGGACTGGACCCCAAACCTGAGGGTGAGAGTGGTCACCATAGGAGCAGGAGAGACTACAGGGGCTACAGATCCTCATCATCATCTTCATCAGTGATGTAATGGAGGGACAGGGAGACAGGCTGCATGCAGATGGGAGGGGTCCTTGGATGGGTACAGTGTATGGTCATCTTCTGGGGAGAGAGAATAGAAGGAAGTCATTGTTTGGAGAAACACAGAAATCTGATAAAATATCTATTGAATGATTAATTGCCCTTCTAATTATTCTTATACAAACGATTTTGTTTTAACAAAATCTATCGAATATACTTTGCATTTATTGCCACCAATTTTCCAAAGTTTGTGATGTTCTGACTTCCAGGCAGCCACTGGTTTCCGGTTTATGGCATTGTGTTAGGAAAGTACATTTGCAGGGACTTTCTCTTGCTTGGCATCGGTAACCACCCCCTGTTGGCTAACATTTTTTACATAATGTTGCTGTAGCCTCGTGCAAAATGTCCATGAACGTGTCAAGAGAAAGAGTTTTCAAAAGTATAGAGCTGTGCATATTATTATTCAGTGATGGATAACCTTAAGCAAGCTTCAAGTCTCTGTGAAATGATTTTCTTAGTACTGAAACAAATTGAAGTATGGAAATTGGTCTGGGTTGGAAACTTTCTGAGTTTCAGTAACTTAAAATGCAGGTGATTTGTGGTTAATTTGCAAAACAACAAATCAATGACTCAGGGTACTTTGATAATTACCATGGCATTAACTTGCAGCAGTCTCCTGCTTTATGACGTAGTGCCTGTTTGAATCATCCACCTCGCTGCCACAGTGAACATCACTCCTGTTAATGCAGATACACAAACACAACACTCACTCTCAGAATACAACCATGTCATAATCATTTACTGTACATCACTCCTACTGGACACTGCAGCACCATGAAATGTTGGAGCCAGAAATGAAGTGATAACACATGACAACAATGTTGAATTTTCATTTAATCTCAATTCTCTAGCACAAATTAATTTATTCTTATTTTACCATACATAACTAAAAATACAGTTTAATGTTTTCATCTAATTTTAAGTTGGTTAAAGTGACCAGAAACAATAAACAGATCAGGTTTTCTGTTTACTGCTGTCTTACTAAACTGACATCCTCACCTGTTGTCATTGATGTCTCTCGTTTCACTGATGCTGTTACCTGTTGGAAACAATTAATTAATTGATCCACTAATATAATAAAGAGTGTATTCATCGATACAAAAACATTGAGTTCCTGACAATAAATATCTCAGATTCTTAATATAACTATAAAATACCTCATGATTTGATGCTAAAATATGTGTCCACACATGTGCACATATACATATGTAAACTTGTACTCACCATTGTCAATGTTTAGAGGGTAAGACTCAAGTGTGTCTCCATTATATCTGCCTGCTCTGTAGCCAAGCGCTGTGGAAACTCTGCAAAACACCACAGAGGTAACAGAAAACAAACACAGTTAAAATACAAGAAGTATGACGTTACAAGTGAAGGAGACCTGTCTCATCCCATAATTTGCAAAATCAAAAGGTAGACAGAGTAAAGAGGAACACAGTGTTTAAGTAATACTTAATATAGAAAAGCGACGCCTGCCAGCTGTAGGTTATAATCAAATGACCATGCTTGGATGAATCACCTCTCCATATCTGTCTGCAAACATCACATGATGCTCTATTTCTGAAGACCAGAGCAGAATCTTCCTGACATCAGAAATCAGCAATTATGGACAGACCAGACTTTAAGCCATGGAATGGCTAGCTGGAAAAAATGGAAAGGAGGATTTAAACTCACGTGTTGCTCTGGACAGAGTTGGGGTTGCAGTTGCTGCTGGCAGAGCTCGGCTGTGTCATGCCACTCTGGAAGAGGATGTTGCTGTAGGTGTTGGCTTGTTCAGTGGCACGGATGTAAGTGTAGAACGGGTTGGTGGGAGAGCAGACGGGCAGCTGCTTCGGTCTCACTGGCTTGGCTGCCGGGATGAGAAAACAATGTAAGGCAGGGTACAGCTATAATAAAACTGGGTCACTGTAGAACAAATTGGTTAGACAAAGTCAGTCAGTTCAAAATTGCATGCATTTCAGACATTTCACTTAAAAAAATTCCCATACCCATGCAACGACACAAACAAAAGCATAAATAATTTATGATTGCTTCAGTGCAGTACCAATCTGTGCAGCATGGGGGCGCCTCAAGGCGCTCTTTGCCTTCATGGCATCCTTGATGCGGTCAACCTCCTGCTGGTAGCGCCGGCGGTCCATCATTGCACCCTCCTTGGCATCCCTCAATGCAGTCTCCAGGGCCTTAACTCTCTCAGCAGTAGACCGAAGACGTTTCTCCAACTTTGGAAGCTCACAACGCAGATCTGCATTGTCACGAACCAGCTGGAGGGCAGAGAGATGACACACAGTAAAGACATAAAAAAAGAGTCATTGTGAGGAAATAAGAGGAAAAACAGAAAATGAGAAGAAGGGAAAACATGTAGCAAAGTACACTTACAGTTTATGTAGCTAGGTTAAATTACTGTTTAATCTAATATGACTAAATATACAATTACAGTATTATGATGCAATGTAGTACTTTCAGTTTAATCCTCACCTCCACGGGTCATTAAGAAAAAAGCATGGGAGGCCCAAAACTGCACAGTTTACATTTGTTCAAAACAGACCAGGCATGTGTAGTTTGTAACAGTCCAGTTATCACTCAGATTTATGTCTTAGAATGAAAATATCAGAATCAAACTGATCTAATACAATCCAAACTGCAGACTTTAGTGTGTTCATCACAAAAAGTTTTTGTAGTGTGTGTTTCTCACCTGTTTGTGAACCTTTGTAAGTTGGTCCAGGTTATTCTCAAGAAAGGAAATCTTCTGCTTCTGGGTGCAAGACCCCCCGCTATCATCAGGCTCCAATTCGGAACTCTGCAGAGAGGACCAGGAAGCAGGAAGGTTGGAATAAAAATAGAAAATAAGGTAGAGGAAGAGGTTTTTGGCAGAAAATGACCTAACAGGGACTGACAAATGCATTTAAGAATACTAGTGACTCGTTGATTACCTTGAGAACCTTAGATCTTCCACTTGTCCGTTTTCAATACACAGTCAAATGTGCCAAACGTGCACTTTTAGTTATCCTTCCAGTATTTGCATGGTGACATATTACCTCCTAGCAAGACCTTTAATCCACTCCATACAAAAAGTGAATTTCTTGTGTCACATACATGATATCAAAAAGTCAATGGGATTAAAGGGATGGAGGATGTTGATGCTATTTCTACTGAGGATTATCAGGGGGGTTCAGGTCACAGATTCCTTAATACCCTTTAAACATGATTAAAAAACAGAATTTCCTGAGTCACTGCTTTCTCTTATCATCTTTGAGCTGCTTACTTTTTTAACCCGCGACGTGAGGTCTTGAACGAACAGCTTGCGCAGGTTGTGGAGGGTCTGGAGTTCGCGGGCCTGAAAGACGGAGAGATGGAGAGGTTAGGAAGACAACTCTAGACTCTAGATGTAAGAGACAGGATATAAAGAAGAAAGGAGAACAGACTCTGAGGTATAAGGAAAGATACGGAGAGACGGAGACACAGAAGATAGATACAGAGATAGATGGACAGTTTTATTTATTTTACTCACTACAGTCTCCTCCAGACCCTTCAAGTCCTGTTTAGTCTGCTCATGGCGCTCATGCAGGAATCTGACAGGACAGCAAAACCATTATCATAAAAAAGACACTATTTCTGTGTACTTCAGGAAAATGTAACAACTATGTCTTGTTTTGAGAGTCATCTGCTGGAATTTATGAGAAGGGACATAGACCTCTCCAACACTTACGAGAGCTCCTCCAAGCGCTCACTCTTGGTGCTGTCCTGACTCTTCAGGCGTTCAAAGTCAGCGCGAACCTGAGCCAGCTCGAGCTCCAGCTTGGAGTTACGACTGGAGGTGTGCAATAACAGCACACATGTTCATGAGGCAAAAGAGAAAGGGAAGAGTTTAGATTAAAATTAATATAAAGCAATCTTTATTTTAACAGATAATAGTTAGTAAACTTTTGTGTATGCAGTATAAATATAAAGTAAAATATATACAGTATGTAATTTTGTTAACAATAATAGCATATAATGATTAATAATGAGACATTTTCTATAGTATCTTATATATAATAATAATTATAATAATAACTAAAATAATTAAGATGGTCACGGACTCGGTGAGCTCGTCAATGATCCTCTGCTTCTCATTGATCTCATCCCGCAGGCGGGCCAACTGCTTGTGATAGAGGCCACGGTGAGACTCCCCCTGCTGACGAGGAGCCTTCTGGAAATGGAGAGAGCAAACACACATCTCTTCAAAGATGCTTGAAAAAAAAAAAAAGAATAAATGCAGTGGCACCATACAGGCGAGATCGAACAGAAACAGAAGGCATGAAATGTCACAAAAGAGTTAGGTCTGAACAAGAAGTACTTTGCTTTTATCCTATTCTGGGATGACAGGATGCCCATCTCAGAATTTCAGTATCGATTTAACCAGTATACTCAGGTTTCAGGCTGGGCACAAAAAATTGCCTTACCTTTACATTTCCATCCTCAGTCTCACCCTTCTCTCCATCCTTATCCTCAAGCAGGGAGTTATCTGGTAGGAGTAAAAGAGGAGGCAAACATTCACCTCAGAGCTACAACCTAATAACATCTTCATGCAAATTCCGGCGCAATTTTAAATAAAATGGGATATGTGAATTTCTGTTGGAAATAAGCAGGATGGCTAAACTGTCCCCTATTTCCTTGTTTGGACATTAATTGTGTAACTGTGTTTTTGTGTGTGTCCCTGTGTGTTACCCTGGTCTTGCAGCTTGGCCAGCTCTTCGCTCAGGGAGTCGTGGCTCTCCTCCAGCAGCCTCTTCTTCTGCTCCACGCTCTGCATGTACTCCGTCAGAGAGCGGATCTTAGCTTCATGCTGTGTGAGCACAAATGCACATACACAGTAAATGTTAATTAATTAAGTCATAAAAAACCCAGCCATGATCAACCACAATAAATGATTAATTCACACAGCCCATCAAGTCCATCTCTTCCCCACCCATCCGGTCCCTCTCCCTCCATCCCTCACCTGAGAGATGAGGAGCTGGCAGGAGGAGAGCTCCCTCCCGGTCTCCTCCATCTTGCGGTGGCACTCTAGCTGCATGTTCTCCAGCTGGCGGCAGCGCTTCACCATGCTCTTCACCTCCGACTTGATCTTGCTGATGTAGAGGCGAGCCACCGTGAACTCCTCCTCGATCGCACCGCTAATCTCCACCGGCTGGGGATTGGAGAAAAGTTTTAAAAACAATGTGCAACAGAGCAGGACATACAGGAAACTCAATAAGAATACACACTCTATTAAGTGTTGTACCTGAAGTGTACGCCCATTTTGACCTGAAATCTAAAGCTCTTTTTACACTGTGATCCAACTCACCAGCTTGATCTCCCCGTTGCCCACGATGGTGCTGAACTCGCTGAGGTCCCTCATCAGACCATTGAGAACGTCAGCGATGCGTTTCCTCTGCTGACCGCTCACTTCCTGCATACGAGACAGCTCTGCCTCCAGCTCCATCAGACTGGCCTGTTACAGAGAAAAGGAGAGGAAGAGAGAGACAGTAATGATTAGTGAAGCACTCCTTTTATCAACAGAAAGCAAACTGAAAAATATAATGGGACTGAATTCTTCCTTGCCAGAGGCAATAAGCTAAGTCTAATGTAAAGAGGCTCAAACACATTTTCTCCAGTACTTGATTGTCCTTTCATTCCTGAAAGTATTTACCACTCGAGGAAGCTGCACTGCCACAGCAGGTGCCTGTCTCTGTAGTGCAGCAAGGGAGCGTCTCCTTCTGTTCCACATCCTGTCTCTGATTGAGGTGCTCTTCTGTCAATCTCACATTCACACTGTTCCTCTTATAACTTACCATTTTCTGGGACAGTTGGTCGGCCAGCAGCTGGTTCTGCAGTCCTTTCTCCTCAACCTCCTGGCTCTTCTGGTCATAGTTGATGGCCAGCTCCTCCAGAGCCTGCAGCACCTCCTTTACCTCAGCCTTGGCGCAATCGCTCTCCACCTGCAGCCTGCCGAGTTCAGCCTGGACCTTGTCCCCATCGCCCTTGGATGAGGCCAGGAGCTGGGGGAAAGACAGGGAGAGAGGCAGAGAGAGACATTTTTTTAAAAGTGTCAATATTTTTTCCAGTCCTGAATTCTTTAAGGGGTTGTGTGAAAGCTGGAGCTTGGTTTTAAGCTTAATTTCAGAATTAGAAAGAATCCTCTTAAACATAGTCTGTGTGTGCATACAGTGTGTATTAGTTTGGAGTGGACTGACCTCATCCTGGTCCAACATCTGCTGCTTCAGTTTCTCCACCAACTGGCACTGCAGGTTGATCTCATCATCCTGCATAAACATGATATGATACATAAATACCAACCTCACAACAATCCAGACTAAATAACTTGCCTGTGTCTATGAATACATGTGACACAAAAGGTTTTACAGGCTTTCATCTGCTTTGCTCGTGATTGTTTTCTATTAATGAATCCCTAATTACATTTCAGTTTATAAGAAGGTGCAAGTGTTGAACACCCGTGAGAAGGACACTAAAATATAAGTGATTACAAAAATAACATCTGCATGTACACCGTGCTAGAGAGGTGGATTTACAGTTAAAAACTGAGACTTAATGTGACTAATGTGCAGGCAAAAAGTGTCGGTGATTAGTATGTTCATGGTTTTGTGTTTGGACCTTGTCATCGAGCTGCTTGTACAGCTTACGGATCTCCTCCTCATACTTCTGCCGCTCCTCCTCAGAAATGCGGACCACAATGGAGGAGGTGTCATTGTCCAAAACGGGGCGCTCCTCCACACTATCGAGACGGATCACAATGTCCGCTGTGGTCTGCTCCGTCTCAGGCACGTCCTCTCCTGAGGGGAGGGATGAAGGGACAAAGAGGAAAGAGAAACAAATACATGAGAATAACAAGGTTTTTTTATAATGTCAGGCCAGACGAGTTGAAGCTTCTGCTGTTAGTCAGTCAGTCAGTCAGGAAACACTTAACGTCTCACCATTTCTCCAGCGGTTGAGCTCAGTCTCCAGCTTCTGGATGGTGTCCTTCAGAGTCTTATTCTTCTCCTTCTCCTTCTCGTACTTCCTCTTCCACTGCTCTGCTGTCAGCTCAAGGTTGATGGAAGCAGTGTTCCTGATGGTCTTGGCACTGCGACAGAGGAGGACAAAGACAGGGGCACACAGGGGATAGTAAAAATCTGTTTTCTAAGTGAGTAAGGAAAGGACTGACATTGGACAATTCAGCTTTCTGTTGGTTTCAAGGTCCCCTAACGAGTACGAGAGGAAACTACCACAAAAATAAGAATCTCACACCATTATAATGAAAGTTTTATTAAATATCAGGTAAAAGTTTGTTCTTGAGACCTTTCTGATCCAAAAAGAGATTCATACATAGCATCTGCACCTGCCCTGCTTGGATTTTAGGTTACGCCAAAAATAGTTAATTGCCTCTTTAGATGGGTAAATACATATAAGCAGTTTGGTTCCTTGCTGAAAAACATGGCAGCATGTTAAAAAAATTGCTCAATTCTCATAAGCTATATACAATCATTTCTTTCCAAAGACGCATTGACATATGTATCTACCGTTGTCCAAACATCAGAGTCGACTTGGTCTCTGCGTCATTGTAGCTGGAGGGAGAGCAGCAGATGAACATGGTGGTGCGACAGTTCCCACCAAGGGAATCCTGCAGGATGCGGGTCATTTTGCTGTCACGGTACGGCACGTGACTTTTCTGCAGGAGAGAGAAGGAGAGACGGGCGGATGGAGGAGGTGAGTAGGGGGAGGGATGGAGGGAAGGAAGATGATGAGAGAAGAAGCAGAAAGACGAAAGAAAAGAAAGGAGGATAATTAAAAAGGAAGAGGGGATGAAAGGAAAATAGAAACAAAAGAGAGAAAAAAGATGCAGAGACAATTACAAACCAAACAATGAAAAAAATGTCTGAGGCACCTTTCATTTGCTTCTTGATTCAGTACTTCTACACTGATCAGCAGATTATAATCAGCAAAAATGTACACTTTCCCATTCCTCTTGATTTCCCTGGATTTAACAACCCCCAAAACTGCTGTCAAAAGTGCCAGATTGATTGTGGTGCATCTACCTAATCCTATAATTGGCAGGGATAGTTTTGGCATTTGACGGCCAAACCTGTTGAGCTGGCAGAAAGCAAAGAAGGGTGTGGGTGCTGGGCAGGATGCATTCATTAACAAGTTGACAGGGATTGACAGCTGCTGTACATCAGTGTTAGAAATGAGAGAGGAAGGTTATTTGCTACAGTATCTGAACTTGGAGGTAAACATGACACATATTTTAATTCATTTAATATCCCCAAATTCTACAATAAAAGTAAGCTTCAGTTGTTTCGCTTAACTTAAATGTGGAGAAATCAATCAACTACTTTACATCAGCTCCTTAAATATTATTTAATATTTAATGACTTAACACTGACAAACATTATTCACCAAAATACCAAACCAAGAACAAAACATAGAGTAAATGCAACCACTTTCTGCCACTTCACCACTATATTGCTGATATATTTCACTTTAATCCAAATGTATATTTATGCTGATCTACTTCAGTATAATTATCAAAGCACACAGTGTCAATTGTTACTCTATTGTCTATACAAATAAAGGGAAGTGTCTCACCGTGCCCTCAGCCAAGGCAGAGATGACATTTCCCAGAGCAGAAAGAGACTTGTTGATGTTTTTAGCCTCATCCAGGACGGCTCCGGCCGCTCCAGTCTTACTGACCTGGAATAAAGAAAGAGACAGAGCGAGTGACGTTAAACATGAGTGATGAACAGCTGAAGAAGAACACAGAAACAGTTATTCTGATTGATTGATTGATTGATTTGAAGCAGCTGAATTGCAGGTTAGGTGTTGTTACCTTCTCACTGCCAGCCAGATCCACCAGGTAAAGTTTTCCACACAGTTTCTGCTCAGTCTCAACGTGCTCCTGCTTGATGTTGATCAGGAAGATGCTGTGGCTACGAGAACTGTGCTCGTTCATGTCTGTAGAAAGACAGGAGCAACACAACAGTTGGGGTGGGAAAAAAGCCAAAGAGTTTTCCCTGCAGTAGAACTGTAGATACTTATTTCTTCTTATTTTATGTCTCTCCGATCTAGTGCCAGCAGTTCTTAGGATCATGTCAACTTAATGTAATAAAACAGATTAATGTGAAGTGATTCATCTGTGCATGAAATATTCCATGTTTCTTTTTTTTCAACAAGAACAAGTCATTCATGATGACATCATCATTCCACAGAGTGCAGATGAACAGCACGGATCCATATGTCTCTCTTCACTGGAGCTCCTCACGGAAAGCAAGTTCAGATTTCTCTGCAGATGATATCTGAGGGCATTGGCTCAGTGTCTACAGAGTGTCACCCTATTAGGCTGCTATCAGCACACCGCTCTGCAGCACCGTGAGTCAGCAGGCAGCTACCAGGAAAGAGAAAATACTGTGCCGCTCGGGGGCACAGCCTTCAACAAATCTTATCCACTGCTTCCTACATTCAGTCCATTTTTAAAGCTCGATTTATGTAGGATTTGGGTGTTATCTGCTCCACTGAGAAGACTGTAGTATCATTATCATGAGTTATTTCTAAATTTATTATTATTATTATTTTTTTAAAGATCTAAGGTCTATTGAATTTATCCTCCAATCAATATGCAACACCTCCATCATATCCATTACAAGGACATCAAATAAATATAGTATAAGCCAACACAGTCCTCTAGTTCATACTATCAATGCAAGGCTGTCCCCATCCCCATTACAGTGACACTGTTTACTAAAAGTCTTAACACACAGGCAGAAATGATTGCTTATAGTGAAATGTACGGGGGACTTTGTATCGTCTATATTTAATTGGCCTGTCTGGTAAGAGACTGCTCATAGATCAGCTCAGTGGATGGATGATTTATAACACCACTGTTCTCTTATAGCGACCTGTACCAGACAACTAATCTGAGCATTCATCTTTCCAGATAAGTTGCCACACAATGAAGAATTCTCACAGCCAACAGTACTCTGTAGCTGAGTAAGTGCCTGTGTCTGCATAGAAAAAACACATACGAACACTAAATATATGTTATTACTAGTTAGACATTTCAGCTTTTTTTGCCCTCTATAGTAACTTTCTTTTACCAGATATATTACCAAATATACATAAAATGATTTCTAAATGAAGATTAAGCATTTTTGTGCTTCTCAACCCCTCATTATTTCATACATAGGCCGGTATATGGCAGCTTATATATTCCTGTGTTTAGGTATTACAAAGCAAAGGAACTGACTGAGATTAACTTGTTCACTGTTGTTGGTCTGTACTTTGAAAGAACTGTTTATTTATAAATGATAACGGTGTAAAGGTGTTTTTACATTTCTTTTTTTCATCACAGTTGGTGTATTCAATTTACTTTATTTTGAATGTGAGTATCACTCTGACCCGCTGAGCTCTGGCTCATTAAGTGCATGCTGAGACATCAGATTATGACTGACAGGAAGCTAGACCTCAGTGATTCAGTTTAAAGTGATTAAGGACTTGCATTGAGAAGCAGGAATGCTAATGTATGAGCCGTTAAATATCTTGAGTTGAATCTAAATATGTCATTGACAAAATGTGTACTGATATGACCAGATAAATAGTATTTGATTTGAATTCCAAATGAACTAATGTGATACTAGTTTATGTTTTCAGGGGAAATATTTCTTGTCTAATCCCTTTTTTGTCCAGGTACTCTCTGGATTAATATTTTATAGAAAATAACTTTTTCTAGCACGTTAACACATTGAAGATCATTTATCTTTTCTGTAAGGTCTTGCAGAAAAGGGCTACATTAAATTGCATTTTTTTGAAAATGTCACAGACAGTCTGATGTGAAGAGGAACAAACACACTGAGCACTAAGGCACAAAATACATTAACTCTGAACTGCACAGGTTGATCTTTATTACAGTGAATCAGGCCTGGTGTTTTTGTTTTTGGGCTGAACCCCAAAGCTCATCTGATCTTTTCACTTCAGTTCAGCCCAGTGAGTCAGCACAAGACTCCACCACAGAAAAAAATAATGAATTTGCTGTCATGGTTTGTTGCTTGGATAGTTCTCAAAATAATTTCTTTATTGGATTTTTGCCTTTTGAAATACCTCCAACTGCAATAAAAAGTCTGTCTTAACAGTAGTAATTTAAATGTATTCAATTAAAAATTCATAACTGCTTTAACAAAAACATGAAATAAAATGTGTCAGTGGTTAAGCTTTTTCTTCTTAATAAATTAATAAATTAATTAAATAAAAAATTATGACATGCAACCAAATTAGAGTAATCCTAATTTGACACGGACATTGTAAGACAAGTGTTTACACCTGTGAAACCTTTTTATGAATTTGTTGTATCTGGTAATTAGGTCACATGTTAATTTAAGCTGCTTTTTTTACACTGCAAAGAACTGTTGTACAATGAAGCCAAAGCATCACTCTGACCTGTAAATACACAGTACAGGAGCCATTAGTCAGATATTATTACTGGACCATAGAGGAGCCAACAGCATAAAGGCCAAAACAAGGTGCAGAAATCACAGATCAGAGAGCTGTAGTCTCTAGTCTTTCGAAGGTTTTGTAACATCAATTAAAGAAAAACAAGTCTTGCCAGTTTACATTACAGTGAACTCCATCTGACAGGATCTTTTTTCTTTCTGTGAGAATGAATGAAGCTTAAAAATTATATAGCAGACTGTAACACGAAGATTACATAAAAAGACACAGTAACAGGTTACATGAACTCAGCTGTCACTTCACACATCAGTAACGAGTAGTGAGCGCTATAGCTGGCACCGAAGAGAAACTAGATGTCGTGCTCTGATATGGAAGTATTCTCAAAATGACACCTACTAATGTTTCACTGTAAGAATTTGTCTTTATTAAATAAATAAAAAAAATGTCTATCCCGAGTTGCAATATTCATATGCCAACTGTGTATCCTCTGTAGCAACAGCAAGTTAAGTACTCACTGGTCACAGCAACATGGCGGTTAGCTTTGCCTTCGTCAATCACATCCATAACCTCATCGGGGCTGGAGACAAAACGCTCAGTGCATCCCTGAGGAGAGGAAAGGAAACACGAGGAGAAGGGACAGGAGAGACAGACTTAATTTAATTGATCTGCTGTAGAACGCAGACAGATTTTCACCCAAAAAGACAACATACAGAGCACTTTCACAAACCTTGACATATGGCACCCTATTTTTATCCTCATGGACAGACAGGTTGGTCTTTGTCACTAAAAAACAAAGAGTTAATCAAATCATGAGTGCAGTAGTCACATTGTTGCTACATTAGATTTTTTTATTTTACAATATACTGGCAAATCAAAATACTGTTGCAAGTGGTTCACAGCACTAACCATCCAGAAGGTCACGGATTTTGTCCATGTAGATTTCAAAGTATGAAACCTGTTGGAGAAGAAAGAAAAATAGGCAACCAAGATTAGCTTTTTATTCAGCTGTTTACAGAGAGAAGGTACTGAAGAATAGCTAACAAAGAAGAGTGAGAATGTCCAAACACATGCACAATGTAACATAAGAAGCATACCACAACACAAGACATCAACTCATCTAACTCATCATATACAGTACCTTAATGTGGAATTCAAGGTTTTCATCCATGGCAAAGATGTGGTTGAAAATGTCCTCAGCAATGCGAGGAATAATACCCATCTGGTGAGGATCGTGCAGCTTGCCCTAAAACAGGAAGTCACAGATAGCAGTGAGATGGTGATAGCTATCCAGGGTCAAAGGTTAATGGAGACTTCATGCAATAATGCCTTTAAATTCTGATAAAATGTCTGTCAAATCAAAGCTAAGAACGGTAAAAGGCTGGGAAGAACAAAAGAGAAAACGCTGTCCTGAAAGAACAAGAAGTGTCAACAAAAACAAAACATACAAAAAGACATTGTTGAAGAAGGACTGTTAGATCATTTCTGTGAGACCTGACACCACTTTCTACCAGTTGGACTGACATTAAAATGAATCTCTGTGGACAAAAGTGCAATACAAAGACCCAAAACTCCACCAAATGTTTGATGAATGAATCACATGAAAAACTTTACAATGGTTGGACACAGTCGGATAATAATATCAGTCGGATGTTCCACATCCAACTGATATTATTACTTGCTTTATTTTAATGCTATTGTTATGCTAATACTGTACCTCCATGGTGTGAGTCTTCCCGGAGGAGGTTTGTCCATATGCGAAGATAGTGCCATTGTATCCAAACAGAACATCTATGAGAAACACAGAACATCAAATGAGACCACAGCACATACATTTCAAATATCTGACATGTTTTAATGTTGCTAATCATCCATACCCTTGACAATCTGCTTGGCGCAGGTGTTGTACACCTGCTCCTGGGTGGTGTTGGTTGGAAACACTCGATCAAACGAGTAGGACTTGCCCTGTGAAGACCATCAACAAACAAACAGTTAACAAAAACCACAAAAGACATGGTTGTTTAACTCCGAATTGTGATCAGATTTTTCCGTTTAATCTCAGTACATTGAAGTAAATGCAATATTCAAATTTTATTCTTCTACATAAACATGATAGGAATTAAACAGACATGGGCACAATAATGGTGATTAATCAAATAATGTTCTACAGTACAACTGTGATGCTGCACTATAATTAGAAGAATTAAATTATATGACAGTTGTTTTTGTTTTTTTAAATAAAAAAAACTTGAATCTCTTTTCTAGCAGCTAGTCATCGGACTAAGGTATCTGATGCTTGAAACTGGAAATTGAAAAATGCGCATTATTATTACTGCCCAACACAACACATCACTTTACCGTTTAACAAATGGAGGTGTGCTGATGTTTTGTACAACGCTGCATTTATCTTTCCAGCAGTAAGTACACAACAAAAGATGATATCAGCAGAGGGTGAGAAAGCCAGCACTGCAGTGCTTCTTTCTACCGGCTAGTCAGAGCCACATTTTATCCAGGACCTGGCAAATTCAGATCAAGGACCAAGGTCATTAAAAAAATGCTTTTTCACCCCATTACTAGCTTCATACTCATACATATCTCACATGGAAACAAAGTCATGAAAGACAATACGGGCCTTTTATTAATAGCTGCTTGTACAGTACAGTGCTGTTAGCAGTGTTTCTGCAGTACCTCAGGCATTGCTTATTAATCCTAAAGAGCTTCTGTAACTCTAGCACATGTAACTCACAGGGTTTTTCCCGTAGTGTTTCCGTCTTTCATCAGGCTTAAATGAAAACATGTACCCAGGGTTTTCTGTACATATTCTAAGATAAAGGAATATCTACAGCTGAACAAAATTTGAACAGTTAATTTCTCATGTATTTTAGAATTACAGCTCCCATGAGACATTGGCAGTGGGGTAGGTTTTTGCTGATTGTTAATAAAAGAAATGATTGTTTTATCTTAAGTAGTACACATTTTTGGGAACATCCCAATTCACTTTCTTGCCGAGAGTTGCTGCATAAGCATATTTCTATATTATCTATTCTTCCAAAGGAAAATGCTCTAATAGTACTGTCCAGAAAAGCCATAGAAATAGAATATGAACAGAAAACTTCAGAAACATGTTTCGTCTTTTCAGAAGAACTGATTAAAAACACTCAGTCCATTACATATGCTAGCAGAACAGATAGGTAGAAGAGGGGCAGGACTTTGGCATTTACAAGGAGAAATTTGGCATTTTATTTTGGACCTCTTCTCATCAAACATTTGCGGCTAAATCCACAGGAAAGTATTTAGTTTATTTCAAAATATGTCCCCACAAAGAATCAGCTCCTCCTAAAAATCCAAACAATCTTTGTGTGACTCAGACAGAGTGAGTCAGCCCTGACAACAAGCCTTGCTCAAAAAACAGGCTATTAAACCCCTGAATTCCACTGTCCCACTTGATACAGAGGCCACAATGCAACATATTAATGTGAGGTGCCAGTACTTATTAAACGACATTTACAAATTTACTCATCTGCAGACTGCCCCCATGACAGAGTGATTTACCAGACAAAGACATTCAGTCTCAGGACGATGGAGGGAGGGACAGGGGAGGCACAGAAAGAGTCATAAAAATGGAGATGTGTGAGCAAAGGAGAAACAAGGTGTCAGAATCAAAGAGGGAATGAGACAAATTCAGAGAAAATTCAAAGACAGACAGATAGACAGACAGATGGAGCCAGGGACAAGGGAAAGCAGGTCTGTCAGTGATGCATTAGCTCACTGGATGATTATTGATCCTCTCTGTAGGCAATTTGAGAGATCAGTTTCTGACTATACTGTCCAGCGTCAGGCTGAGAGGAGAGAGGAAGGTCGGATCGAGACGTTTCCATTATCATCGGAGAAAGTTTCAACATGATCCCTCCCTCTGCATGCTGCATTTGTCAGCCAGAGGAGAACCGAAAGCTAGCTATGCCTCTCCTTTTAGCAATCATGTGTAGCCCTCATGTGCACTATTTATGCTCCTTTTTGGTTAAGAATAAAACATCTAAAGAGGACAATCAGCAATATGAGCAAAATGCAACTGAAACAGATCTGAACAGCTATAGATCATTTGGCTCATCTTTTTTTTTTAAGGTTGATGTGCATTGGCCGTTACACTGGAAGTATCTGGAATGATTTTGGTTTCCAGGGATGGTAACAATTCAAATAAATTTCTATGAATTTCAAATGTAAATGTGAACCACATAGCAATGGGCAAAACCCTAACCTCAAAGACATCTGTGCAGCAAAATCTCATTTTTATCAAACCTTTTTGTCTATAATTGAAATACTAAAAGTATAAAACTGTATTTAAAAGTCAGAGAAATCTGCCTGTGTCGCTGGATTATTTTCAGTCTGTTTCCAGTACAGATGTTTTAAGATTTAAGCAAACTGAATAACACAGATTGGTGCCTTGAAAATTTAGACCAATGGCACTTTATTCCATAAAATTCTTGAAATAATTTGATTTGCATTAGAAACTAACACTGAAATAAGGCTACACTGGCAGCTTTTGTGTTTTTCTGATTTGGTTCTAACAAAAACGTCAGAATATGACAATATTTTGTAGTTTCAACAAAAAACAAATTCCAGTGAATATGAAACTGTGTTCTCAACACATTACAGCCTTTAGATGCAAGCTCCCCAACTATTAGACATTTTGAATTTAAAGAAACTGAATTGTCTGATGTATTCTTTGCACATATAATTGGTGAATCCACCTTTACAAACATAAACAAATCTGCAGAGTAAACAAGACATGCAGCACCATCAGATTTTGTCCACCTAGAAAACCAGCCCCCATATTTCCAAATTTCAAAATATACTACAAAGATCATGAGCAGACTTCACCTCTGCACCAATATATTAGTCTGCATGTGCTGCTAGCACCTGCTGAGTAATGACAGACAATAGATAACACCAATAATAATAGTGCTGCAGGCTGGACTGGCTCATGGCAGCAGGAAGGAGATGTGAATTAGGCTAATTGGTTTAGTCACCCAGAATGAATGAATGGACCCATCAATATCAGCATGGAAAATACTTTATATTTATTCGTTTATTATTACATTTTAGGGTTGTGTTGGAGGTAGGCCTATGTTACATACATATATAGGCCTACAGCAACATATAAAGCAGGTCTTTGTGTAATGATATAAGCTATTAGGCTAGCTATGTTTCATTCATAGACTACACTGTGCAGACCTTAGTCAGCTGATGCAAGAGGCCAGTTTGCGCACTTTAACAGTTTAACATGTATTTGGACTTTGTCACGTTAAGGGAAAGACAGATTTGGGGGAAAGGTGTGATATTTCCCAGTAATGCACCGATCATCACGTTTTCTTACCAATCCACAACCCAAACAGATGGGCCGATGTGATGATTTATTGATGAGGGGCCTGCTTGCAAAACAAAGCGCCTCCCTTTACTTACCCCGACGACGACAGTGTCGTCTCCTTGGAATTTGGGGATAAACTGGTCCCCGCGTAAAATCTCCGACTGGTTGAGAGGGCGAAAGCGACACAGCACTTTTATGTTGCACTCCGCTGGAACATCGGCCATGGCGCAGATTCAAGGAGGTGGAAGGATGCTGCTTTCTGCTGAGAGGAAAGATGATGCTGAGGCTGGAGGCGACCTGTCGCTGATCGGGGCCTGATCTGACCGTCAAAATCAACGACGAAGGATGCGCAGTCACTGCTTTCTTCTTCGTGGACAGGAACAAGCTGACAATCCCGACAAGCTGAGACAGGTTACAGTTTATTTATGCGCAGCTGGACGGTGATTCCTTGTCGCAGTGAGGCGGGCAGGCTAAATTAGATGTCAAACCGCGAAACGAATCCCTACATCATTAAAACAACAGACTCTAATGTTACTCGGTTTCCCGTGTTGGTTTGTCTGACGCTGTCTTTCTCTCTCGTGTGTTTTTTCTTTCCGTTTTCGGGTGCGGCGGTGGATGTGCGTCCGGCCGGTTGAAGGTGAGATGCTGCTGGAAGGGCAGTGAGGTAAAGCTGCTGATGATCAGTCAGCGTTGGTCGCCACAGCGCCCTCTATCGGAGAGTAAAGGAAGGGCGTGGTCTGCATCCGTCTCTTTAAAGTGGTACCCACAGCTTCGGGATCATCAGCTCAGCCTCTTCACGGGCAGGCGGAAACCAGAGCTCCGCGCTGCAGCGTCACATCCGCACAGAGCGAAGAAGCATAACATCATTACTGTCTGTAAAGCAGCTGCCAGGCGCGCTGATGCAGTGACTAGTCATCACAGCCATACTTTGGCCTCTCTCCGATGCCTTACTGCATTTCTTGGAAGGCGTAGGAAATCATTATGGTAAGGCAGTGGAAAATTACGAGTTTAGGCCTTACATTGATGGAGCATTACAGAGATGATGCAGCACAATGTTAAAACTAAAGAAAACACATTACTGTGCCCATTTACAACAGCCATTCTTACTAGTGAGATCCGAGAATTAAATTGATGATTATAATGAGCAATGAATAAGCATTTCATCCCGTTTCAATTGTTAAGACAAATAAACTTATTTTTAAAAAAACAAATAGAACTGAAAACACAACTTCCTTGCCTGAGATAATAAACTGGAAGTTCTGGTCAATAAAGCTGCACTAATATTAAACAACTTTAACCCTGTTTTCCAAAATAAAAGTCTAGACCACACCTTCTAAAAGGATGGAAAAGTAACTCAGTATTGTCGTTAATCGGCTCTCTATGGAACGTTTTTGGAAAACATTTTAAAATGTGCAATTTAACTCAGGGTGAAGGTTTGAGATTCCTTTTTTAAGCTATCACACACATTTCTTGCTGTCTTTGATGTTATTTCAGTCTTCAATAAAATCTTCATTTTACAATGTGCGAGTTAAAGAAAAACTCCTGTACCAGTAAACGTCATCACAAAGCTGCTCACATCCTTTTCAGAAGACAGCAATCAACACACAGCACATTTTCTGTAAATAGTTTAATATTAAATAAAAAAAACTCCCATATAAAAAGAAAGCTACAGTCCACAATTTAATCGTCTTTTTAAACATAAGTATTGAAAGCAAGGGGTAGAATGAGAAAAATACTTAATTACAATTCCCAGAAAAAATTCACAATTCATTGTTTTCTCTCGTCTTTCTCTAACAATATAAAATCAAAATAAAACACATTAACTGTACATATGTACAAATCTCCAAGTGTAGAAATTGCATAATCTGCTTTCTTTTTCCACTTTTCTTTATTCTTTTTTTCTTTAAATACAGCTAGAGATGCCAGTACTCTTGGGGCAGGGCAGTGTGTGGAGGAGAGCTTAAACAGTGATATGAGGAGACAGAGGGAGGATAGCACTCCAAATCCATAGTAACACACAGACTTAACAGATTCACGTAAGACGTCATCGCTTTCTGCGTTTTAAGTTTACCAGCCACTCGTTCAACCAATCAAAGGACATACTGTACTTTGTTTAAACTCGGGATTCCTGCAAATGTTAAAAATTCAATATTTTTTCCAGACACTCATCTCACGGCGGTGTGGTCAAAGTATGGGTGTCGACAAAGTGTCTCCATCACACCACAGCTACATGTAATTCTCTACATCAACTAATGACAGCAGGTGAAATGTAAGTGGGTTGCCAAAATGTGACAAATGATGCTGAGTCTTTTTCTAAATTGTTCCAGATATGGTGTGGATCTGTCTGGGCACCCTGACACGTTATGACATGATTCAAAGTTGTACACAAAGAACATTTTAATTGAATGTTTTCTCAGTTCATAAAAATATTAGTGACGTACAAACCATAAAAGAACATCTCACAAGACACGTGGAATTGTGATTAATTTCTTTGAGTGTGAAGAAATCTGATAAGGTGACCCACATTATTTCCTTGGCTTGTCCCATATAAAAGGTTATTTTATTCTATGAAAAAAACTCAAGCCTGTTCCTTATGTTCCAGCACCTACTGAAAACCTTTCAGAATGTTTCTGTGAAATATAACTGCTGCGTGTCTCTGCAAAGAGCCCTTTATCTTACCAACAGACAGGGTCTCGTGTACAAAAAATTAAAATAAAGTCAGCTAACGGATGGTGAAGGGCTCAGCAATAGCACTGTTGTCCAACACATACTGCGACACATAAAAAGACACACACATCCACATACATACAGACACACTTTCAACAGAGAGCATCGTTCAAGTAGATGGGCTTTATCCTGACTCACAGTTACACACTGATGAGAAGAAAACAGTACTCTTTTTGTGTTTTCTCACTGATATAATTCTAACACCAACCATAATTAACAGATCTCTGATCACAATGTCAAGCAACCATTATTTTGTGAACTAGACCTAAGAGAAGACCTAAGTGAAAAAGTATCCTCAACATTTCTCATCAAATTTTTTTTTCAGTTTTTATAAATTAACTTTTCAGACTAGATCTCTCTCCCATGTGTTTTTTTTCATAGTGGTTGCCATAACAATGGTTGACATGACAACAGCATAATATTAGTGCAGTTGAATAAAAAAAAAAAATAAGACAGGTCTAAACAGTGGTGATGATGGTGGAGAGATGGGAGGGGGAAAGAGGAGAGGCGTCTGGCCGCCTCCGATTGGTGAACCGCTCTGACTTACAGCTCCCTCCACCAATCACTGCCTTTGAGACCTGGCGCCTCGTCGCCTCCTGCCGCGGACCGACCTCTCCGGCTTCAGCAGTGCTGTCTGGAACAAGAAAGAGAGAGAAATTACAGTCACATCAGCCTTATCTCTTCCCAGCCCCTTAGCGGAGGAATGTTTTTACCACCGCAGTCAGAACTGCACAATCATTTCCAGCATGGAAGAAAAACCTCTCTCCTCAGCAAACCCTTCATGTTTGCTTTCCATCGCAAACACGCTGCTTCTGACGTTAAAAGTACATTCTTGACCTTCGAAACAGCAGTTGAGAAAATAATTTCACCACAATTCCCCATTTAGGACTTTTTTTGTCAAGAATCAACTTTGAACCTCATATCTTAAGCTAACATGGACGAGAAATCCTTAAACACTAACACTCACTGTTTTAACTGAGACAAAAATAGGACTTGTTTTAAAGTAAGACAGCTGGAATTAGTCTGACTTGAAACAGTTCAATGACATTTTTCCTGCATAGAGAAAGTTAGTCCTTCCTCCAGCTCTTAACAAAACTCTGACGCTGTCTTCATGGTAGACATTATTTTCTGGTGAGCGTTGTGCTTTGTGGATTCTGTCATTTGTAACTGCAGTTGCGGCATTACGCTAATGTGGTGAAGACTGTATCGTAACCAGCACAGTGCAGAGAAAGACAAGTAGAAGAAAAGAGCCGGTACACATGCACGTGTACACGTGATCAGGATGGTACCACCTCGCATCATTTCGAGCCAGGAAAAACACTGGATACTAGTGAATTGTGGCTGATAATTAAACCGCTTTGTGAGTCACTGAAGGGCAGCTGGGTCTTACCGTAGCCTTGGTTTCCTCTAGTGCTGTAGCATCCACATCTCTGAAGTCTTCTAACACATTCTGTAGCCTGATACACAAAGTAAGAAACACATTAGACATTACACATCATAAAAGAGCCAAATAAACCTGATAGGACAGTTGGTATGAAACATCAGAAAAGGCATGTCTAGTGCACAGATACATGGAGCCACTATTTTTTATTTTTTACTGGAAATGTATTTACCTAGGTGATTCCCTGCCTAGAGCATGTCTGAGTAATGAACTGTTAACAAGACAACTTACGTTTGTTTCCTTTTCCTTCCTCTTCTGGCTCCACCTGCAGCGCCTGCTTGATCCTTGGGAGGTAGAATCAGAAATCACATTACAAAAACATGTAAATACTCTTCAGCTATCAGTGGCATACAAATGCAGCACTTCAAGTCAATCAAAATGCTACATTCCTCCTTTTTTTGTGTTTGGTCCATGCCAAAAACTGAATTCTGGTGTCTCAGCAGGATAATTATGCAGTCCCACTTTGTTATAAAATATTGTATAAGTATGAAGGAAACAGGAGACTCTGGCACTCACCCTTCCCTGTTCGGTGTGCATCAATGTCCCAGCTGTCTCCTCATTGGGCCTCCCACTGCATCCATCCCTGGGACTGAGGTACCCTGCCTGGGGAAGATGCCCCTGCCTATCCACTCCTGCCTCCACGTAGGGGCACACAGCCGCAGCAGGCCCAGTACAGTCTGTCTTAGCCTCCTCCAAGAAAATGGGTGGCAGAGGAGGCTCTGGGTGGGTATGTCCCTCTCCCATGACCGGTTTCCTTTGTAAGGGTGAAGTAGACCCGTCTTCAGTGGGTTTGGGCGTTCCCTGGGCTGGGGAATGCACTGCTGCTTCCAGGCTGAGTCGGGATAAGTCTGGGTTGCGGAGAGAACAGGCCCGACGTGGGCTGAGGGAGACTGGGGCACTTGCCTGGGGCAGAGTTGGGACAGGGGTGTGATGCTCCACAGGGAAAGAAACTGGCGGTAAGGCACAGAAGGGTGAAGTGGAGTCAGATGGCCCCAAGTGGGCCCTGTCTTCCTGCTCTTTAGCACTGACTTGAAGGAAGGAGGTATAAATCGTGTCCATGAAAGATGTGTAAGGATCAATAACAGACCTGCCCTCAGATACTCGCTGTGGGGGCAGGGTGGGCTCTTGTGCAGGGGCTGGAGCAGGCGCAGGACTGGGAACCACTTCTGGAGCAATCTGACTGGCTGGAATGTCTTCCTGCGGGGCAGGGCTTTGTGTTTCCTGCAATGAGACTGGCTTCTCTCCTTCTGAGGGTGGTGCAAGATTTAGCTGAAGGAAAAAAGTTGAAGCAATCAACAAAGATCCCAAAACTAATGTTAGGGATTAAGCAGTGTGTTTTCTCATTGATGCAAAAGCAAATTATCCACATTTCCTGACATATATATATAAATCCTACAACAAGCCATAGACAATTCAGCCAGAAAAGAAAAAAGAAAAAGAAAAAAAGAATAATAATTAGGATGTCCTGATCTCAAGCCGAGTCCTTCAGCATTGTATATCTGCTGATAGAGAGTTGGCTCGAATACTTGTATTTACATAATGTCTATGTCTATAATATCGATATATATCCGATACACTAACAGCAGTACACTGCTAAATCTGGAATTTGGCAGACCTTTTTTCACATGCTACTTGATCCAAATAGTTAAGCATCTTGGTTCAAAGCTATCAAGTTTTTAGTAGGGCAGAACAATTGATCGAAATTTGATCCAATTCACAATATGGTAGAGTGCAATATCCACATCGCAAAAGCTGCAAGTTTTTGATAAAGTAAAAATGTGTCACAACATCCCATAATAAATCAAGCACTGTGGTGCTACAGAGATTCCCCAGCTTACAAATCATATTCTCCAGACAAAAGAAAACATGCTCGTTTGGTACAGAACCCAGCCAAAAATCATATCATCATTATTATATTTTCTTAGTTTAAATGAAAAGCAAAAATGATTTCCACTAAAACTGTGACTCAAATAGCAGTCTCTGTCGCAATGTTTTTTCGGGGGGCATTCAGCCCTAGTTAAATTATAGATACGATATAATATATAAATATGAATAATAAGTTGCGCTCCTTTGTGACACTAGCAGGCTGAGGTGGACAATACATAGCAAATAAAGGATCGGATTTTGATTGACTTTATTTTTATAGACCGCCCCATTAAGGCGGTAACCTCTTTACCCACAAAGCTACAGGCCAGTTACCCACCTGTATGTTGTTGAGCAAGTTGATGGCTCCATCAGGACCCTGCAGCAGAGGCATGCCCAACGCAGAGGTCTGGACCGGGGGCAGGAGGATGGAACCTGCTCCAATCCCCAACATGTTATGGAGGCCTGCGATGCCAGAAAGATCTCCTACAACGACACATTTCATAGATGTACTGATATAATGGGTTACTGCTATGGAATGCCTGCAATGTTTAAAGTTTTAAGAAAGTAAGCAGTTGGTCATTTTTGCTGGTGTCATTTATTTAATTCCTAACAATGTTTACAAAAGAAAATGTAGTAGTGTTGAGAGTGGGCACTAACTCACCTAATACAGCAGAGTTAAGCAAAGTGGGCAGTAACTGTTGGAGGATGGGGTTGTCCTTGCCTTGGAGAGATAGGGGGATGAGGGTGTCAACACCAGCATCAGTAGGTACCTGGAGAAAAGAGTAAAGTGGAGGGTTTGAGTTTCAAGCAAGCAAAATACAAAACAGTGAATCAAACAAAAAAAAAAGCAGATATATATTGGTCCAGAGTAATACAGAGAGACAAGAGTCAAGACAAATCTTTTTTTTTTTTTTTAAATGCAAAATTTAAAATGTGACCTAAAACATGTGCATTCACACCTGAGGTAAATTGGGATAAACAGACCGTAACCAAAACAAACATGTAGTTTGAAGAGGACTTCATTTGAAAATAGTATAGAGAGAAATCCTGTTTTAGCAGTAGAGGAAAATGGTTTATGGTTTTGGCACAGGGAGAAATGATGGAAAAGTGGAGGAAATGTGCTCTCTCTAGGTTTTTCTAGTGAAATTAGGATGCGCTCAGAGAAAATAGCTACAGGAGACAGGGAAGCCTACCTGAGGTTGGGTATGTTGGGTTTGCTGTGCAGGAGCTAATTGGGTGTGGGGAGGTGGGTGGAGCTCAGCAGAGCTCAGGGCAGCACTGAGCAAGGCAGGGCTGAGGGGCAGGAAGGCTGCGGGGGGAGGAGGAAGAGTGGTGGGAAATAGCAGAGACTGCAGGGCTTGAATAGAGCCCTCAGCTCCAGGATGAATAGGGAGAAGGCTCTGGACGACCTCCAAGAGCCCCGGGCCCGATAGGGTTGATGGATCCAGGAGGCCAGAGGTCTTATCCAGGGTGAGGCCCTCTAATGTGGTGGGTGGCTGCTGGAGAGGAACTTCCAAGCTGACCTGGCTCAAATGACCCAGCCCAGAGAGAGGTAACAAAGACGCCTGCTGTTGCCCAAGCAACAAGGAAGCCATGAGCAGAGCCTGAAGGCTAGGTTTTTCTGTTAGCCCTAAATCAGCTTCCTGTCCTGGAGAAGGGGTTGGGAGCGGATTAAGCAGGCCCAAAAGGTTCAGAGGCAGCTCCCCTTGGGCACCACTCAACAAGGGCAACAAGGGAAACAGAGGATTGTTGTTTATCTGTTGTTGTTTCTCTTGTTGATCCTGGTTTTGCTGCTGTGTCTCTTGTTGAATCAGTAACTGCTGCTCTGATTGCTGCTGCTCTGCAATATTCTGTGGTGGTTGTGGTGAAGCATTGGCAGGGGGTATCTGTGCATGTTGCAACCATAGCCCCCCTAGAGGCAATGAAGCCAAGACCGCAGGGTCCAGGAGGGATGGTAGACCTCCTGTGGATGACAGCAGCTGAAGCAGTTGCTCTTGGTTCATGAAGGGGAAGGCCTCTGCCAAAGGTAAGGGAGCAGTTGAGTCGCCAACAGCTGAAGGTGTAGGAGGACTGTGAGTATCGCCAAGACGAGAGCAGATAGTATGCCCGGGGCTGGTGGCTGCTGGAGATTTGGTCACTATGGAGACCTTTGGATCCACACATCTAGGCTCCTCTGGCCCTGGACAAAAGACATGAATCATTCACATCTATTCAGGCTATCAGTAATATTTTATACAAGCGTCTAGAGCTGGTCAGTAAAATGTTTTATACAGGTTTTAACTGTGGTGGTGACAGTAAGCTACAAAACAATATTCAATTTACAAGCTGGCAAAAACACATCAATAAACTGTGTTCACTCATATCGATTCAGAGAAACACCCTGAAGGGCGCAACCTTAAGAAACCGTTTATACCCCTTGCCCTGAACCTAACCTAAGAGATATCATCAGCTGATTTAAAGGGAGCGCTCGCGACCACACAGAAAGTTCATATTAAAGCTAGGGCAGGTAACGTTGGAGAAACTAGCAACAGACAGTTGGATTTTGAAAGTATCAACTCAAAAAAGCCCCTTCTCCCTTTGTGGCTCCCTCCAATCACATTTTTATGTGCATGAGTTTACAGGCAGGATGCACGTAGATAAGTAGGCAGACAGGTAGGTAGCCCAGCCAATCATTTTGTTCGGGCCGAATGGAATTATTGCCTGGGCTTATTACAAGCCTGCTACAGCCACAGATACCAGATTGATTAATTTTTTTTTATTTCAGAGCATTTCATTTATTGATTGCCATTAGGATGAAAAGAGAATTTCAACAAGTAACAAAAAATGCTTCTGAAATTCATTACCTACCCTAGCTTTAATCAGAAGAATGAGAGAATTTTCATTTCTATATGGATACATGTTCAATAAATTGCCAAGCTCTACAAACCATGCTACTTCAATATGGTAGGCAGGTACATTTATTTGTCACAATATAACAATATATATATATAGTGAAACTGAGTTTTTTAACTGCCTTCTGCTACATAGCAGACAATATACATTAATACAGAAGCAATTATAATTTTATATTATTATATATGCATTCCATAGCTATATCTTAAAAGACTAAAAACACACTTCAGACTGAAAAATATCCTCACCTGCAGTGAGATTTCCTTGGGGGGACATCACAACATCAGTGGTACGGACGGAGGAGCTGCTCTCTCCCTGGGGCACAGTGGAAGATGCTGCGAGAAGGGCCAGGACATGGTTGCTAAGATCAAGAGGTTTCGGGGAGCTTGGTATCGCAATAGAAACACTGCCTTGAGAATGACTCAGGTCCACTGATGAAGATATGCTGTTACTACCAATATCTGCTGCCACAGTGCCCTGTGGTGAGGTTTCCCGCAATCGTCCCTGATTCTCAGTTGGTTGATGCTTGTCTGAGGGAGTCAGGGACGCATGCTGAGAGGGGCTGTTGTGTAAAGCTAAACTTGAGTTGGGCAGCACTGTAGAAGAAGGAGAATGTCTCTGTAAAGGACTTGATTTAGTGGGCCGAGGATGTGATGGAGACTGCACTGATCTGAACTGAGAGGAAGTGGGAGGAGAAGAATGCGGTTGTGGCATGGAGGGTACAGGATTAGTGTTACTGGTTCGGCACAGCGACTGAGTCTGTGGGTGCCTGATGTTAGAATGCGGGGCGGGAGAAGAGGGGGACCGTCTGGGGCTCTGTTTATTAGTGGGTCCACTTCCTTCAACAGACACGGAACCTGGCTGAGATGAAGCAGAGTTCGATGCGGAGGCTGTGGCCTGTGCATTCTGCACACTGAGCAGGTGTAACAGAGCAGACAGAGGCTGAGTTGGAGGATCCAAGCCAAGAGGTGTAGGTGTCAGGCCTGTAGTGAAATCCAGAGCCTCATTTTGTCGAGGAGGCCTGGAAAGGTGTGCCATCTGTCGGGGAGCAGGGAGCCTTGGCATCTGCCCTGGGAGGAGATGATGATGGTTTTCTAACATTACAGCATTCTTGTTCTGCACAGCTGAGGTAGAGGAAGAGTGCGAGGAGGAAGGGAAGGAAGAGGAAGAGGATAAGTTGATAGCTGTAGCAGAAACGGCGTCTCCTGGCGGGGTTTGCCGAGGCCCATTAACCAGGTGCTGGGTGTCTCTTAGCATGCTGAGCACTGTGGGAGATCGCCGTTGCCTCTTCCTGTGCGACGCATTGCGCTCTGCTGTGGGAGGCAGGTGGGGCAAGGAGGAAGCCAGGGACTGGGCCAGAGAGTGGGATGGAGGAAAAAGGACGGAGGAGGCTGCTGCAAGGGAGAGATGGGGAGGCCTAGTCGAAGCGATGGAAGAGGGAGAGTGGCTGTTATGTAAAGTGCTGTTTGTTACCTTTGATGACTGTTGTTGTTGTGCCTCTTTCAAGACCTCCAGAGAAGAGGGCAAGCTCACCGAGTTGGTAGCCACATTTGAACTCTGGCCCTGGTTAGCCAGCTGAGCCTTGGCAGCCGCAGAGAGCAGGCTACTTGCAGGGAAAGAAGCTGGGTGTGGCAGCTTTCCCTGATGGCTGTGGTGGTGGTTCAGAAATGGCCCCAGAGGTAAACTCGAAAGACCTGCAGAGTTCAACCCAAAACTTGGTGGCCCTGGGCTGGGGGTTGGGCTCATGGTACTCTTTGAGGGCTTTGAGGAGAGAGCATGAGGGTTGCTACTGCTTTGGTTAGTCAGTAAGGAGGGGTTAGTAGGGATAAGGAGGTGGTGGTTATTAGTGCTGCTGTTGCCTGAGTTCTTAAACTGCTCCAAGATGTCTTCCAGCTTGTACTTGGGGAAGTGGGGGCTGGGGTTTGGGGAGCCACCGGAGAGAGGGGAATGTGGAGAGGAAGAGGTGGATTTCCTCCTCTGAGGCAAGTTACTTCCCATCAGTCCTCCTCCTGCTGCTGGTGTTGAGCTTCCTCCTTGCTCAGAGAGAGGGGAGGGAGAGGCTGAAGGGTGGCGGGACCGCTGGTGAGGAGACACACAGTTCATGTTATGGAGAGAGGGAGAGAGGGAGGAAGACGGAGAGAGGGGGGAACCTCCCACAATGACACCATGAGGGTGATGAGTGTGAGTCTGTGCTCCTCTTCCTCCTCCACCCATGGTCATAGGGGACGAGGAAGGAGGGGAAGACAGGGGCCCTAGCCGAGGAGAGCCCGGAGTCTCTGGGGTTTTGGGTGTTCTTTGACCTTGACTGACGTTCTGAGGTGTGGGGGTGCAGGGTGACCTCTGGGCATGGCTGTAAGCTGGGAATGAGGTGCTGGAGGAATAGCTGGACGAGGCAGGGATAGGAGGAGGATGGTGAAGCCTTCTCAAAGCCTCTAGAGGATGGTGAGAGTTTGTGCCCGTGTGAAGGACAGGGGAGGAACCATTGTAAGGGAAAATAAACTGGTGGGAGGATTTGGGGCTGGCACAGGGGTTTGGGTGAAGGTTGCTGTGGGGTCGGGCTGGGACTGGATGGAGTTTGGGATGGTAAATGCCATGGTCCTCTTCTTCCCGCTCCGCGAGAACCCGCTTTGGATCGCGGCTGTCCATTCCAGTGCTCATCTCTGAAAGTGGATACACACACATATAGGCATTTTACTAAACTTCTGTAATTTATGATATAATATGTACAATATGACAGCATTATTTACTTTCATTAAAAGGTAGTGTGAAACACTACAAACATAATTACTAAAATGTAACTACAAAAGGTACTTTTTGGTTAGTATATAATTGCGTACATCATATGTTCATAAGTCTTGTACATATAGTGGGTATAGAAAAGAATCACCCCCCTGTAAAATAATCACATTTTGTTGCTTTGAAGCCTGAAATGAATTGTTTCATTCAGCTGTATTTACTCAGTGCAACTTGGTTGGAAAAAGGATCACCCCCTTGTTTCAGTATTTTGTTGAACCACCTTTTGCTTTAATTACAGCCTTTAGTCTGTTGGGATATGTCTCTACGAACTTTGCACATCTAGACGTTGCAATATTTGACCACCAAGTCATTCCACAGATTTTCAATGGGGTTTAAGTCTGGGCTCTGACTAGGCCATGCAAGGACATTCACCTTTTTCTCCTTCAACCACTGTGTGGTCAGTTTTGCTGCGTGCTTTGGGTCATTGTCATGTTGGAAGGTAAATCTTCTTCCCATTGACAACTTTCTGGCAGAGGGCAGCAGATTTTCCTCAAGAATTTGACTGTATTTTGCCCCATCCATTTTTCCTTCTATCCTGACAAGTGCTCCAGTCCCTGCTGCAGAGAAACAACCCCATAACATGATATTACCACCTCCATGCTTTTACTGTAGGAATGGTATTTGGATGGTGAGCTTTATTGGATTTTCACCTGACATACTGGTGTTGAGGCCAAACAATTCAATTTTAGTCTCATCTGACCATAACACCTTTTTCCACGTGTGGCCTTAGAATCTTCAAGGTGCGTTTTGGCAAAGCTCAGTCGTGACTGCATGTGGCCTTCCTTGAGGAGTGGCTTTTTTCTTGCAACCCTCCCATACAAGCCACATTTGTGGAGAATGTGAGATTTTGTTGTCACGTGCACACAATGACCAGTCTTTGTCATGGATTCCTGCAACTGCTTCAGAGTTGCTGTAGGCCTCTTGGTAGCCTCTCTGACCAGTTTCCTCCAGGCTCTTTCATCCAGTTTGGAGTGACGTCCTGACCCAGGGAGGGTCTGTGTTGTACCAAATACCTTCCACTTCACTGTGCTTCTAGGCACTGATAAAGCCTTTGAAACTTTTTTGTATCCATCTCCTGACTTGTGCCTGTCCACAACTTTATCCCAGAGATCTTTTGACTATGCCACCCATAGTTGATTGTTGTCTTCAGTTGCACTACCAAGGACTGAAATGCTTCAGGAAAAGCTTGTTTCATGCTGAGTTAATCAAAATGACCACAGCTGATCACAATTGAAAGTCAATTGGCTTTGTGTGCTATTGAGAAGGTGATTAACTACACCTGGTTGGGTGTACAAGTCATTTTTAGGAGGGGGGGGTGATTCTTTTTCCAACTCAGTGATTCTGTTTTTTAATTTGTAATTTTTTTTCTGACAAGTTGGTATTATATCTTTCACTTGGATGTTGTAAGTTGTAAATACAGCTGAATGAAACAAAAACTGTGTCTGTCCGTTTTCATTTCAGGCTGCAGAGCAACAAAATGTGATTATTTTACAGGGGGGTGATTCTTTTCTATACCCACTGTAGTCATGAGGGCTGTTACTTGATGTCTTTCTGTGTGATGTAGAAATCTGTAGTCATGTGAGATCTAACTTATTCTAAAGGCACATGATCAAACTGATTATGTGCTTTTTATTTTCCCAGTACAGTCCTATAGTTAGTTAATCACACAAAACATCCAAATAATTTTAAAGGAGTTCTCACATTTTGTCAAAAATATAAACAGTCCTAAGAACAACAATTGAAACAGATGCACAGGACCACAATGATGGAACTATTCTGCTGCACAACTGAAGTTTTTTGGACTATAATAAGATATTTTGTTCCCAATGTGGAAGAACATTGCTGCTATTAAAATGTGGTTTCAATTCTGTGAGGCTGATAGCTGCTGACCTGCCCAGCACTCGTTTCAATCCCACACCCACCTGCTCTCACAGGATTTCCCATCCCACTCCCGCCCACTCCTGTGGTGATTCCGAACACACACCATCAAAAATTATTTCAATTGAAAATCTGTCTGGCCTTTCCCACACGGAAAATAAGATACATTTAGCTCTTATGGATTTTGCTTGAGGCAGTAGGAACTAAAACTGTATCTGAACATGGATCAGGGATCATAGTTTCTCTGATAGCTAATGCAGATTCCCATATAAACAGACACAAACTTCAGATTTCAGAGTGCGAAAAGCAAGCAAGAGAGCGAGGGAGAAACTAAACTAAACGTCTGATTCTGTACTTTGCACATAGTTTACTGAAAGATAATGTACTTACATGCATGGTTAAGCACAATAACAACAGCCTCTCATACTTTTAGAAATGAAAATGCTTCTCTAATTCAACCCACCATGATGAGGATACTGCCAAAAAAAACCCTCCCACACACATCACAGCAAATTTGGGATGAGTCCTGCGGGACCTGCGAGATCATAGTCCCATTGCAGCACTCTATATACGGTCAGTACTGTGCAAACAGCACACTCAACACCAATATCAAAAGATTTGGTGGAAGAAGTACAGAGTTATTCCACCATCCACACCAAAAAATAAAAAATGATAATCTCCTACAGGATGCTGGTCCGCATCGGTTTAGTAAGTCTGTAGAAATTAGTATAGAAACGTTATTTCTAGAGTTTTGTTTGTGGTTCTTTTAGCTTGTTTTATAGTACACAGGTGCAGAAGTAGCACATCTCAATGTGTAAAAAATGTACCTGGATGATGAAGGTTTGCGAATGGCAGCTGTGAAGCCTGCATACTCCGACACAGAGCAGCCATCGCTACAACTTTCCTGCGGTGGTTACACAGTTTGGTCATGTCCTGCTCTGCTTTGCCTAATGGCTGGCTGTGCTGCTCCACCTTCACTCCCACAGTGAAGTTGAAAACCTGCAGGATACCAGATAAATGAAAATTCTTTGAACTCCATCACATGTAGGAAAGTTAAGGGCACCACTGGGGTATTTTACACTCACAATATTAGTGTCACACATTGCTTATACTCATAGGCTATGCACTCTTTTATATTTTTTTACACACTTTTTATGAAGAAAAGGTTAGATAGCCATGATTCCACACAATTGGACAAACACCATCCAAAAGGTTAGTCATAGATATTTAATTTAACACGTGTGGCGATGTCACATGCCTGCATTTCATTCATAGTAAAAACCTTGCAGGGCTGCCAATAATTACTATGCTACATTAGGGCTGAACAATTAATTGCATTTGCGATATTATCGCAAGATGACAAAATGAGATTTTCTAATTGCAAAGGCTGCGATTACACTCTGGTCACATGACATGCAAGAGTAAAGCAGTCTGCGGAGAAAGCATCAAGTCCGTTGTTGTCGGAGATTTATCAAGCTTGTCTTTTAGATGTCAGAGGTGTCACTTGGTTTTATTTTCATTGGTCAACTTCTGTATATGTGTTTTTTTGTTCTTGCTGGGATCCAGAAAACAAGTTGTTTTTGTTGAGAAATGGACTCTTGTGGATATTTAAACTGAGAGAAGGTCTTATTAATTAGTGTTAATTAACTGTTTTCGTATTCTGTAGAACACACTGTGCTGAAATTCCTTTTTCTTGTTGTCTGTAAGTAGGCCTACCTGATTGTCTTTCGCTGAAATTACTATAAATTGATACTTATTCTGCACCACTGCTCAAAATAATTAATGCAATTCATGCATCACCTAATTTCACCATAACATAGGCCTGGCCTACAGGCAAGAACAGTGTGTGTTAATCTATCTAATATTGTGTTGTTCATACTATACACTGATTTTTTGCTTGTCCGTTTTGAATAATGTAGAAGATAAAGAGCTTAAAAAATAATTGCATATTAAATCGCAATACCGGTAAAAAAAACGACTCGATAATTGTTCAGCCCTAAACAGCAACAAACAACTAGTAAAACTCGCCACAATGGTCAAGTGAGTTAACAGAAGTCAAAAGGTCATTGCTATGCTGCTGAAATATGTGACAGAGTGTCACAGAGATACTAAATCTGAAAACCCAAAAGACCAGATAGTAGTGGTGATTTACTGTGTGTTTTCTGTCTGTATTGCACACCATTACAACACACACATACACACACTACAAACACATTTCAAACATACAAACCAGCTTTACCTTATGGATGATAAGTGGACACTCAAGACCACATTTGCAGGTGCTATCAGTCAACAGATAGGCCTTGACCTCTTCCAGAGAGGATAGGTTAGTGCCACTGGGACTGCAGAAAGAAGACAGGGACCAACTGAACACCAAACTCAAGGGAGATCTGAAATAAAGAGCAGCTTCTCCCCCCAAGCTATCAGACTCTTAAACTCTAATCCATCCTCAGCACTGCTCTAGTGATGATAGTTTATTTCTGTTTACCATTTCTCATAATTGATTCTTTATTAATGTATATTGTCTGCTATGTAGCAGAAGGGAGTTACAAAACTCAATTTCACTCTATAACTTGTTATATTGTGATAATAAACCTACCTACCTACCAAAGACATGTTAAAGCAAAGCTGAACACACCTCAAGATCTCCATATTTAAAAATCACATTAAGATTTGAGAAGCACTGAAAGACATCTACAGGGCTGCATATGCAAACTGAAAGGAGTGTTTTACATGGCTGCTCAGACTGTCGTGCTATATTAGAGAAACTCTGAAATCCCATTTTAGCCTGAGTAATTTGAATGGGAACACAGGAACAGATTCTGTATGCCTCCCTTTGTATGTGTGAGACAAAAGAAGTCTCAGAAATTGAACAACTAAAGTCAAGTAAAAAGAAGAGAATCTGCCTTATTGAAAGACTTATTATACACTTTGGGAGTTGATTTGAAACTATGGTTACTTAGCTTGCAATATTATTATTACTATTAATATACACAAATCTAGGTTACAGCCTATGTATGAATATGCTGCTGTTACATTAATCATCAAAATCTTTACTGGAAAAATAAGTACTTCATCTTTATGCAAATTTCTAAAACAAATCCACATAAGCCACAGTCATTCTTGGTCTTTCTTGGTAATACCACCCTAAAGATGTTGGTGAAACCAACATTTCTCCGGAATAAATTATTTTGCTCACATCCATACACATTTATGCACATATACTTTTACGTCCTTTCTCCAATTATGAATTATTAGCAATAAGTCTGCATATGTATCTGTTCAAGTGAACCAACCCACCTGACATAGATCACCTGCCCGCCCTCCACTCTCCTCTGCCAGCCAATGGGGATGTGTATTGCAGTGGTGTGGACCCCATCCTTGTCCCCACTGACAGTCTCACTGCCTCCCATCATTTTTTACCTGCGGCCTGCCAGCACCTTAGAAAAGTAGCAAAGTGTTAACTGTGTGCTTTGTGTTTTGCTTTAAAGGATTACATATTTTCATTGCTGGAAAATCATTATTCTGTTTTTGAAATATGTCATTGTCTAAAATGTTTTCATGTGTTATTTAATTACGGTCTACAGACATCTTACAGCCTTAGTAGTACACAATAATGAATTTTACTTTTGAAATCTTTAAAATTTATAGTCGGTATCACTTTTGATTGTCATTTTACAAGAGCTTTAAAATAGTCAAGTTTATTTTTATAGCCCAAAATCAGCAACGACTCTTAACCCTTTTGAACGTCTTTTAAAAATGTACGTACACATGCAACTATAATTAGTTTCATGCATCAGTGTAGTTTATTGTGCCTCACTAAATAAGTAAACACATACATGCATAAAGTGGATGAACGAATGTCTCTGCAGTGAAGTCTTCAGGATAATTAAAGCAACCTGCATGCCAAATGTGTGGGCCACATTCATCTGATTACACAACACCAAATGACAACGTCAAACATCAAATGGCACCATGATGAAATTTGCCTAGAACCATGACAAGTGCATACAATAAGGGCTGCTAACTAAATGCATTGCACTATTTCAATGTCAGCTACTGAATGTTTACTTTCCAGCTGTCTTCTACCCCACCAAAAAGGTCTGGCAAAATGCCCAACATTTACTTTCATTATGTCTGTGTTCCTGAATATTCAGGCCTCTACAATGTTGTCTGCAACATTTAAAATCACAAACATAATGTAAACATATCACCATTGGGTGTGGCCACAGCAAAAAAAAGACTGTTTTGGTTTATGGTCAAGTAAAGCAATAAAAAAAACTGAATAACTGAAACACATTCTGCATACCATGTCATCTTTGGGAAGCCAGGATCTGTTTTGGCTAAGGTATCCACTGTCCAATGTACATGCTGGTGGGTGAGAAGCACACAAACTGCCAGTAAAACCTGACTTGATGCCCAAACACCTGGACTTTCTTCAGCTGTGAGGCAGACTCTCAACTTAGAGGATGCCTCCTGCAGATTTATTTGTTCAGTTCACATCAGAGTAGGCTCTTGAGTGAAGATAGGGAGCCTGCAAAGAAAAGTGGAGGTGGATTATATAATCTGACAGGGGAAGCCAGGGTAAATAACTGATGTTACATACAATTTCCTGCAATAGATGTTATCTGAGCATACTTCAAAACATGATTACATCAGATCCATTACTCTCTCAAAAAGAATACAACTTCAGAACAAGCTGCGGCTACTTTGAAGTGGGAGGGTGTGTTTGGATAGGCCCGTGGTTTACTGAATGTTTAGCCACAATATAAGCGGCTGTCTTTCTAACAAACAACTCACAAGATAACACGCTAACAACATGAAAAGACCTTGAAATCAAATCTTGGTGGTATTCGTCGCCTAGCTAAAGTCAACATCTCTGCAGTGTGCAGGCATGGAACAATATCACTAACTATACTAACGTTACACGACTGATGGACGGCATGCTAACAGCTAGGTTAACAGCTAAGCTAGCAAGCTACCCTACTTTGTACTATGTTGTCGTGACAGCTGTCAGGCGCACAAAACACTCCGATGCAAAACTCTTGCGTGTTAGCTAGGGTAACAAGAAACGAGCCAGACACAATAATGCATCGGAACAAAATATGAATTTGATCACCAGATGCACTTACTTATTGACAGCCGTTTGCTAACGTTGATGTTAGCAGGACCTATCAACCTTTCTCTGCGTTGGCGAAGTTTTGGAGTGTTCGCTTTTTTGGCTCGCGGGAGAATCAAGAGTTAGCTGGCTAGCTGGCTAGCTAGCTAGCCGACTAGCCAGATAATGTTTTGAAAACGCCTGATACTTTAATAAATAACCGTGAATTATGTAATCCCACCATTTAAATCACGTATTAGCGCGATCAATCAGCTCGCAGCGTTTATACAACGTCTGCCAGTCCGATTTAAAAACAAAGGGCAATAACGCTTCATTTTACTGCGCCTGGGATCTCGGGGCTAACGCCGCCAGCTAGGCTAGCAGAGCTAACAGACTGAAATTTACTTGATTCTGGAGTGTCCCAACAAGACTGAAGGATGTCCCGCTCCCGAAGCACACTTATCCAGCCGTTGCGTTGGTCTCGGCTCTGCTAAACCGTCTTGCATTCAGGTGTATTCCGACAACCATTACGACCCACGTAATCCCAAATTCACAGTTTCCCACTGTTTTTTTTCTTACATATTCCGAGCAAAAAAAAAAATAATGGAGTTTTCTTTTGGGCATGCGCATTCCGTGCTCAGGGAGTATTGTACCCGACATGCAACGGGACCTTTGTAGTGTTCCAGACAGACAACAGTGCGGAGCTCCTTGATAGAGGACATGATAATGACAGAACGGTAACAGGCCCGGGATGCATGTCTGCTGCAGCTCAGAATAATGGCTTCATGAGCACCTGTCTACACTAAATTTGATCCCAGATAATATGTCATTTATCAAGATACAGAAATGAAATGAAAAGCATACTCAGTTACATAATGTGTATATATATAGCATGTATATATATATATATATTTTTTTTTTTTTTCTTTGATTTTTTTTTTTACAATTTTTGAATACATATCACATTCCATACCGCTGCTCAGAGTGTCTTTTTCATTCCCTGTTTCCAGATAATTCTTCCATGCATACCTTAATGTTACATCGGTATATAGAAATGCCTGTGTTTGGTGTTGTCTTGTATTTCTGAATTAGACAATCCAGTAAAGCAGGCAAGACTGCCATAGGCTCCAGGTTTGCCATATGGCAATTAGTGTGTGGTAATTTGATTAATTACAAGTTTGTTTGGTAATATTGAATGCACAATTAAAGCACAAAATAGACCTTAATTAAAATGACAGGGGACTTGAGGCCCCCTCTTGTTGATGGTTAAAATGTAGCCTTTATTGTTTCAGTTTATGCTGGGTTTACATGGAGCAAATTCCTAAATGTCTGTGCCTTATTAAGTTACCAAAACTTAGCAAAGCTTATTTCTAACTTACTCATACACAATGGACAGAAGGTGGGAAAAAAGGGTGGTCATTACAGGCCCACAAACCAGCTCATGTCCACCCCTGGACCTTTAGATGATAACCTGGCCCTTATTTTGGTGACTTGATTTTAACTCTAGCACCACCACCAGGACAAAACTTCAATTTTCAGGTGAACCATTGGTTGTAATCACACTTGCTGTGCACATTCATGCTCCTAACATGAAAAAAACAAACAAACATGTGATTTAAGTGACTCCATGACCCACCTTCTAAAACCACCAAAAGGGTCACAGTGACTTAATCAACCATTTTATCATCTACTGCAGCAACACTTGCTGTGAAAGCAATAAGAGCGAATCTGTATCTGAATCTGCTATAATTAGTCCTAAAGAGTTTTAGTGAAATTATCCAGATGAGTTACCTACACCATGTACCATTCAGGAAGTTAATCCAGGCCCAGACCGTAAAAATCACTGTCACGGTGTATGTTGTAAAGTACCAATGGGGTACAACTTTGTACAGGGGACCTCAGGAACCTGAGGTGGTTCCAGTATATGTAGATTGACACCGTTGTTACACAAGGTGCTGTTCATCATTGTTATTGTGTACAGTAATTACAAAAAGAATAAATACAGCTAAACTGAAAACCAGTCGAAGTGTTCATCTATTAGCCAAGGCATTTGTAAAAGACAATCGATTTTCTGTCCTGCAACAGTGTAAGTGTCATGGACAGTAAACCATACAGACACCACAGTCATTGAAAAATGTCGGTGACAATCACTGTACAATATCAAAATTAAAAAACTAAAAAGCTATGGATTATTTCATAACTTTAAAACTTATCACATTTCTTCTAATGGTAAACTAACTTCAAACAATTTCAATTTGCATCCAAAACTGAGCAGACCTAATTGCAAAACCATGGGCAAACATCGATGGTGTGCTGCTCTGGAGAAAGGTCAGGTTCATATTAGATACCCAAAAATAATTACAGTTCAAGTTCTTTTTAAGTTCCCCCCAAACGCCAGATTGTTGCACAGTAGCCTATACTGTGCCCTTTAAAATATGAATAGGTGCCCAGTAGTTAAAAATGCCTATAGTAGACACATTTAATACAGCACTGATGTGAATTATCAGTTCAAATGTTTAACAAAAGGTGACATACAGGTTTTTGCATTGTTCTTTGTCTCCACAAAAGGACAAGGACAGCGAGCAGTGTGTGTGTGTCTGTGTGTGTGTGTGTGTGTTGCTGTTGTTTGTGAACAATTGGGACAAGGGGAAAGAGGTGTGTATGAGTGTAATGAAGACAGAGGGAAACAAAGTATCTGATTTCCCCTCGTCATCAGTGCTCAGTCTGAGTTCCCCAGCTGTCGTGGACAGTCAGCTTGACACATGAGTGCTGAGCCTAGCACGCATACAAACACACTCACACACACACAAAATCATAGCAAAGTACACAAATACAGACATATGCTAACATCTGAGCCTGGAATCACTTTGGAAATCACCTAAAGAGACAATAGAGGCAATAAACAAAGGGCCCTGACTGTGAAGGTGTTGACAAAGAGTCCTGAGGGCCTGAAGTGAGGAGGCAGGTTGATCGGCTGGTTTGTTAGACTCAGATTCCCTGAACATACAGCACTCCAGTCATCGCCAGCAGGCGAAGGACTCATTCACAGAGAGATTTTCCCACACAGTGGATTTTGTCATTTCTCCTCCGAGCTGCGTGAATTTTGACAAGAGGTACGTTCCAGTGTAAGTTTAAAGTTTGAGTTATTCCACTGCAAAATGTATTTGCGTGACTAAAGCATGTGGAAGTCAGTTTATTCAATTTAGTTTCAGTAATGCTGTTTCATAAAGCTTTCAAATACTAGCTGAATAACTGCCACATTGAGATTTATTTTTGCCAATTCACAAAGATTGATTTTTATCGCTGTCATACTTTCTGGAATTTTGCTCTTTTGGTCTTTTCTCGATTGACAGAGGCAAACCAAATTTAGCTGTGAGGAGATTTAATTTCACCACCCTAGAATAGTTTAGGTCAAGTGGACAAGTGCACTCATTCAGTATGTGTGTGTAAGCGGGTGTGTAGCTACATGAAACTTTTTTGTTAAGTGTTCATACAGACACAAGAATACATGCTGGAAACAGTGTTTATGCTACTTTTTAAAATCATTATCCTCTGATAAAAATTAAAGGATGATAAAATCTTTTTAATACATTTTGACTGGATGCCATGTGAAGGCCAACCTAATAAATGACAAATAGAAATTCTAACTACAATCTAATTTCATTCAGTTGTTTTTCTATTTACATTAAGAAATATGCACATATTTCTTGGGGTGCTTTTTGATTCTACCAACCATGGCAAATAAAATTTACTGATTTTTGATGGTGCTTCTTCAAAAACAAAACTCCTCACAATTATTTACGCATGTATGTAATAAATACACATATATTGTATGTCTTTGTAGGCGGGGCAGTACTGACATTATCCACCAAACACCATGGACCAGTGAGTATATTTCCTGAAATCCATTCGATTACCTCTGCAATAGGAATATATTGCTTGCCCTACTTTGCTTGCCTGCACCTCTTCACCATCTCCAAAAGCCTTAATTCAAATTCTAGTAGGCTAAACAGTCCAGACTGAAAAGCGCAAAAAACACATAAAGTTTTCAACCATATCTTCCTACAGCATATTTAAATACAGTAATGACTCCATGCTCATATGAGAAAATGCGTCATAGGAGTCTCCCAGAATAAATGATCCACCCTCAACTATTTTGAGGTGGAACGTTTTTGATATTTGATATTGGCACAAAGCATGCCTGTTACATCAGGTCACTGCTTGCCACCTTGTAACCCCAATTTTGGTCATTTTTTTGTTCACATTTCATGTTAAGGTTTAGGTATTACATGTTCACCTACTGACAAGCAAGAGGTCAGGTTTAAAAACTGAAGGTGACAAGTTGGAGAGACAAATGTTTCACGTGAAAGTCATGACATGTAGCTGCATGAGATGATCTGACTCATGGCTTTGTGTTTTCTTTTCTTTGTGTGTCAGGGAGGATGACAAAAACTCTGTGGATATCCACGACAACCCTCCCGCTCCTGACAATGTAGTGAAAGAGGACGGAGACACTGTGAGTGACAGCACCATGTCAACCCCCCCACCCCACTGTTAGAAGTGCCATTCCAGGGCCGTTTAAAATAGCCACCAGCTGGGGCAGGAACGCAGTGCAGCGTCAATTGTAAAAAAAAAAAAAAAAACTTGTGTGTTTCTGTTTTTTATCCCCTTGAGATAAAGTCACAATGCTGGCTGATAGAGGATGAAGTTGAACAACAGATCACAAATCTGAGACATCAGAACTTATACTGACTCTGGGTTGGTCGTTTGTTTTAATGGGTTCATCACTTTTCATACCAACACTTTTTGCAGAACAAATCTCTACACAACATCAAAAGTGGGCATACTTAAGAGCAAGACACTGTCCCTTTCCAATGACCATGATAAAATTTAGACCAACATCAAAAAGTGCACATTTATTGTGTTTTTTAAGTGACTGTGATATGCCTTTTGTGTGTCCAGGTCTATTTTATATATGAAGAGGAGGTGGAGGTGGAGGAGAAGGAACCAGAAACTCCAGAGCCTGTTATCCGGGTCAACGACAAACCCCACAAGTTTAAGGACCACTACTGCAAGAAACCCAAGTTCTGTGATGTCTGCGCTCGCATGATAGTCTGTATGTACTGGAAGCTATTATGTTATACTTATTATATCTTCTGAATGTCATATATACATACTATATACTTGATGTTTTATACTTATAATACTTAATCTTGCTTTCTAAGCAACCCAATTGCTGTTCCTTTGTTAATTTTTCAGTGAACAACAAGTTTGCTCTGAGGTGTAAAAACTGCAAGACCAACATCCACCATTCATGTCAGTCCTATGTTGAGTTTCAGAGGTGCTTCGGCAAAATTGTGAGTCCTATTCCTTCTGCTGGTATGCTCCATAAAAAAAAAAACAATATACTATGTCTGTACAGTAGGCCACTAAAATGTAGACACATTCCAATTACTTTTGAAACATTGAAGCATGATGTCCTCTACTTGTTTCCTGTAGCCACCTGGCTTCAGAAGGGCCTACAGCTCCCCGCTGTACAGCAGTGACCAACCGGATTCAAGTGAGTCCACCGAATGGCAATATGTCTCATGTATATCTAGCTTTCTTAATCTTTTTAGTGTACGTGAAAGTGTACATACTATTTGCGAAAGTGTGTATTACCTGTAAAATTACAAAAAATTTTGTCTAACTGGTACTTTGTCCTTGACAAGATAACCCGAACAGGAACGATCCCGTCTTTGACACCCTGCGAGTCGGTGTCATCATGGCAAATAAGGAGCGCAAAAAGAATGAAAATGACAAGAAAAATGTGAGTGTACTTTTAATCAAACTGTAAAACCTAAAATTTTCGGATACATGTCTTTCACTCATTCATTAAATTAGCCCAACACCAGTAGAGGAAATTCAAGCATGAATCCAGACATGTCAGTATAAAAGCAAATGAAGGATTTGAAAGGATATGATATATGACGTTTGTGTGCAGTTCTGATTTACAATGGTTGTCCTCTAGATGATGATGATGATGGAGGAAGAAGAAGAAGAGAACCAACAGCCCAAAGAGAATGAGGAGGGAGGAGAAGGTATCAAGATTATCACTATAATGATGGTTAGATGTGGTGGTATGTTTTGCGCTAGCTGTGGTCATAAATATAACAATTTGTACACATTTCTATATCCAACATGAAATTAATCAAATTAAAACACAGTTTCATTTAAAGTGCAGAAAAAACATTAAAAACAGACCAATTCAACAAGGATTCTAAATAGCCGAAATAGTGACAATAACATGAAATGATTTGTTCTCCATTTTAATGTTACTGGATTTTAATCCTCCATCAAAAGCAAGGAATTTGTTGATGACTCTGATGCCTGATGTTCATACAGGGAAGCCTGATGATAAGAAGGAGAAAGGAGGAGACAAAGCAGACGACAAGGTAGGAGACAATGTTAATAAAACACTTCTGTTTTACTCACATGCAGCTACTAAAAGTTCTTCCCTTTTCCACCAGCTGTATGTGAGCATGTTTTGTTATAAATCAGTTGTCATATGCAGTAGAATCTGTGCTGTTTTGTCAACAGAGTAAGGGTACATTCTCCCAATCCCACTATTACCTGGCTCTCTACCGCTTCAAGGCCATAGAGAAAGACGACCTCGACTTCCAGTACGTCTGAATTCCCTAACATCCTGTAACAACATGTAGTGTAAAGCATTTATTATTTTATTTATTCAATTAAACCTACTTTAAGTGAAAACTACACTTTTTTGGTTTTACAATGTAACTGTTAAACAAAAAGGCAGTGATAAAAGACATTTATTGAATGTGTGTTTGTGTGAAGCCCTGGTGATCGGATCACAGTACTGGATGACTCCAATGAAGAGTGGTGGAGGGTGAGTTTAACTTCTTTTAGCCTTTGCTGGATCCATTAAATATTTGCGGTGAACCCATTTTCCAAAGTATGTGTGGAGGATGAACTAAATCCCTCTATTTTCAGGGAAAGATGGGGGAGAAGACAGGCTACTTTCCCACCAACTACCTCATCAAAGTGCGTGCATCGGAAAGAGTTTTCAAGGTGACACGCTCCTTTGTAGGGAACAGAGAGATGGGACAAATCACACTGAAGAAAGATCAGGTACCAGCATTAACGTGTGCAAGTGTGCATTTAATTTAACAAGATGCAACATCTCTCTAATCAGATTTTGCACTGAACACTGAACCATGTTTTTCATGTGTTGGTTCTATTGTTGTCCATTTGTATGTTAAGGTTGAAAAGATCTCATATTTGCCAGTGTGTGCCAAGTGTTTTTTGTTTAGTCATCACTGGAAATAAAGGCAGACTTAAAAGAAACAGACATTTAGCATCCTTACATTAACCCGCTGCCCAAGTATATTGCTAATTTTATTGTCTTACTAACACAAAAACTGTAAACACTGTTGTACCCTCAGTAGCAGCACATACAAGTGGTGCACGGTGCCTCAATAAATATGTAGAGGCCTTAGTGAGAATGTATCAAGTTGATACAGATGCTCGGATGTTTATTTGTGCTGTTGTTGGTTTCAGATTGTGGTGAAGAAAGGAGATGAGAAAGGTGGCTACTTGAAGGTCAGCACTGGACGCAAGCTGGGCTACTTCCCTGCTGATCTGCTGGAAGAGATCACTGTGACATAAAAACCTCGACATGCAATTAAAGAGCCTGCAACACCCTTTAAATATCAGTACAAAATTGAGACGTCACTATTCTGGAGATCCTTCTGATCTTTCAGCTATGTTACATACATAGTCAAAACAGACTGTCTGTCACAGCAGAAAAGTATATGCTGCTGCTTTAAGTTTCTACGTGCTAAATCTAGCTAGCATTTAGGAGAGGTAGAGAAAACCTGGAGAGCCTTGCAAAAGGTCATAAATCAATTCATGAATTGATATGAATGTATAAGATTTAAGACATCAATATATATTCTAAATCAAGATGACAATACAGTTTTAAAAGTAAGTGGGCAGTTAAATCTCACATCAAATTAATAAAATGAGGCCATAACAAAACCTCTGAGGGCCAGATAGATGGTTATAAGAGTTGGCAAATAGGAAACTGATGAAATCAAAATGCAAACATGAAGAACAACCACATTGAACTTTCAGGCTTTGTTTTGTTTTTAAAAAACAGCTATTTATTCTCATTTAACACTGCTGTCCATTTCCATTGCTTATGTGATCCATTAACCAAATATTTTGCATGGTAAAAGTTTTTAAATAATTAATGTCTAATAAAACATTGTTACCATTGTCAAGGCTATCTAGCTTCTTTATAGTTGTATAAATAGAGGCCTCAAAGCCTTATCAACATGTACATAGCTTTATATTAACAAATAAACAATGCAAAGAACATTTCCTAGATTGGGCTTGTACATAATTTCACTTGTGACCCTGACAAACTGAAGAAAAGCTATATGAAAAGAAAATGTGTTAAAACACAGCATAAAATACACTTGAAACCTGAAGTGCATTTAAAAACTCACTGTGAAACTTTCTGTTTCCAAAAGGGCAACAGTTTATTTAAAACAAAAAGGAGCGAGAGATGCAGAGGAACCTCTCTTGCTGGAGTTTTATGCATGAAGCAGTAATGCAGTATGTGCACGTCTTGTACCACTTGGTACAGTTGCTACTTCCACAGCCTAAACAGGAGTTTTAGCTCACGTTATTATCTGTGTTGATGTTAAAACTGGCAGCTGAAATCTAGTTTCAAATCGAGGTTGAGTGCTGTTATCAACTCTGGACAGAAAAAAATCAGGTGACCCAGCAGCAATTATTCTTATAAATAAAGAGCAAGTTGCATCATTAATGAAGGCCAAGGATTTAAAGAAGATACATGGAATAATGAAAAAAGAACAAAAACATCACAATCTTCTTAGCGTTTTTTTTGTTTATTGCAAGATGCCTACCAAAATATACAAATTAAAATATAAAGTGCTACATGGAGTGATGAGTATGAATTACTACAGAATGACACAAATACAACCAAGACGTAATAATCAAAAATACAAAAAAACTTTTCAAAAATAATAAACTGCCTTGACAACTTTCCTGTTCTGTGAGTTTCATGTTCCTCTATGCAAAGACAGAAAGGGACGTCCTTGTTTTCAATCTACATTTTTTTAAGACTGTGAAAAGTATAAAGATTGATCTGTGAGCAGTGAAGATTAAAGTCACTGGACAGGGGCTTTGTCAGACATCCAGTGCCATGTCTGTGATGACAAAGTGCCTGGATGGGTCAGCCAAAGGTTTTTGCCGAGCATGTAGAAGATACTTTCACTTTAAATCATTGGGATACAGAACATGGCACTTAATCATAGACAGACTAGCTTTAACACTTAAAGATTTGGTTGCATTTCTACAGCATTTATGACGGCTTATTCTCTTCAGCACCAGAACCTTCACATACTTTCACACAGTCCAACCAAATTGTACTTGGTGAAAATCAGCTGCGGCACATGGACAGGGAGATGTCTGTAATCTGGAGCAACAGCGTCTTCTCCTGTGCTCAAGAGCCTCTCAGAGGAGACACTTGCCGGTGGGCACGCCAAATATTTGATTGCCACTCGAGCCAGTGCAGGATTTTGTGCTGTCTTTGCTGACCAGTATGAAATCACTGGGTCAGAGGCCAGTGACAGTGTGCTGCTCTCTGCTAGATAGGTCTCCACTAAACCTGATGATGTCACAGTCTTGGACAAAGATGCTGCATTATTTGCTGTAAGACTTTGCATTGCACCCCAGAAAAGGCTTGTTGGCTTGCTGCTGGTTCCCTCAGGTTCTAGCACCACACCTGAAGAAGAGCCGGCTTCACCTGCTGAAGGCCTGCTATCCTGGTCCAACAACTCCTCAACCTCCGCTGCCACGGCAGCTTTCAACCTTTCAAAATCCAGTTTGCTGAGCATTGTCATGGGCATGATCTTAAATCTGGGATCCAGGAGTGTGGCTTTAAAATAGGCATTGGTGGGTGTTTCAAAGACGTGTTGAAAGTGTTCCTCAAGGTGGCTCTGCAGTGAACTAACTAGCTTGCGAGTCTCTAACAGATCACTCAAATCCGTATTTGCTAAAAGTTCGTTCAGTGCTGTTCTGAGGGCCTGGATGCACGGGATCACAGAGGAGATGGATGTATCATCTTGGCACACTGTGCGTGTTGCTTCCTCAAAGGGCTCCAGCACTTTGACTATGGCCTCCATCAAAGTCCACTGATGCTCTGAGATAGACACACCAAGGTCCACCTCTGTGGACATGGCAATCAGTGCCTTCTTCTGCTCCAGCTGGCGCTGCAGCATGAACAACACTGTGTTCCACCGGGTCGGCACATCATGGATTAAGGCAGCCACAGAAAGGCCAAGTTGCTCCTGTCTCTCGTGTAGCTTTGTTAAGGCTTTATTCGACATATGTACAGTGTTGGTAATTTGTCTTGCAGTGTTGATTACACTAACCACACCATGGCACTCCTCAATAGAACCTGTTACAATCAAGTGTAGGGAGTGAGGCATGCATCTAATGTGCTCAAAGCCACTGTCTGACATGGCTTTCATCATGTTGCAGGTGTTGTTAGTGACAAAGGACCCAACAGTAAATCTGCATGGAACTATGTTTTGCCATTCTTCAACAAGGTCATGGAGGTGTTGCAAGATTTCTGCTGGAGTGTACTCTGTATCAATCACCTTCATGTTGAGCAACGCACGGACACGTTTATGCGTCACAGCCCCGCAATCTGATACATTTTGTACAAACCAATGTCCTGTGAGAGACAGATAGGAGCTGGTTGAGAACTTTCTAGTCCAAATATCAGCTGTGCAGTGCACAACGTCACCCTCAATGTTCTCAAGGCTCTCTTTCACTTTGGTTTTGAGTCTTTGATGAAGCAGGGGTACAACTTTGCTGCTGAAGTGAATGCCCGCAGGAAGCGTGTAATGAGGTGCCACCAAATTCATAAGTTTACAGAACCCTTTGTTCTCCACAAATGAATATGGCAAAAGATCCATGCAAATCATTTCACCCACGCTGTCTGTGATTGATTGGGTCATTGGATGGTTTGCTTCCTCAACAGATTCAGTTTGGGAATTCGGGACAACAAGTGGAGTAAAGGGCACTAAGGCAGGGGGTGTAGGGGTTTGCTGTGGTCTCCTGCTACTCAGACTGCTATGGATGCCTGCCACATTGCGATGTTTGTAATGCATATGGTTGTGCATAGCACTGGTAGTTAGATGTGCTGCATCCTTGCCTCTGCTCCCAACTCTCTTGCATAGGTTGCACACCACCTTGGTCACGTCATCATCACAAATGGTAAAATATTTCCAGATTGCACTTTTATTCCTCCTTTGCTTTTTTGGTGGTGGCGTGTCTCCCGCTTCTTGTTGTTGATCACTGGCATTATTGTTACAGTCTGTTAACTCTTCGATTTTTACAATGGCAGTAGCATCCATGTGTGCTCTAAACTGAGGACAGGCTAACTGGCTACAAAGACAATCAGCTGTTCACAGGATAACAAGATTGTACACGCAGATTGATCTCAGTGGGTGAACGTACTATTCATCTGATCCACTTGTCTCATTCGCTTGGCATGAGGTGTTTTTTTTCATTCGCCGTTGAAGCGCTCCTCCTCTTTCAGCGGCGGGTACGCTGGACGAGCAGAGCTGCGATGCGCCCCTGAAAGCCACACAATCTATCTATGAACGAATAAAGAAACTCTCTTGCAGCGTGCTTGTGCCAGGGACTGGGTGGTCTATTGTTTCAGTGGAGATCGACGTTTTGTTCTTCTTCTTTTTCCAAATTCTTCTTCTTGCACGCTCCTGCAGATTTTGCGCCGCTGGTCTATTGCTGCCCCTCACAGGCGACTTGGCGAAATGCAGCTGCACCCAGTCATTCATGAAGCTTCATTTCACATTTTTGTACAAGTTCCCTAAAGCAAAATGTTACGAGGTTGACAATCAATTAAAAAAATAAAAAATTATATAGTGGGCTTTTAAATATACGGTATGTAGATGTCTTTATTAATGGTTACGTTGACCTTTATATGGTTTAAAACGTGATCATGTGTTTGTTGTTCCACAATAACTGGTCTGCTTAAATAATCTTCCGAGATAATTCTAAAGAGGAACCTGCATTTTTGTTCATGAAACTGGAACCTACAACATAACACGTATTAAAATCCATCCTGCAAACCACGGGCATCTGCAGTGCTTATTCTCAATCTTATTTCATTTTTCACAAGTGTAGGAAGCCCCGCGTGAGCAGGGCATCAAAAAATTAATTGAAACTCTTATTGTTCCTCTCCACGGAAATCTTTAGTAAAAGGCGAAAGATTTATACGATCTGAAGAGAAACAAGAGTGTACTAGCCTGTCACCCGCTTGGTGGCCGACCTCATTCTCCGCCTTAGTATACTCACTTAGGCTTCACAGCAGAAAAATGACCATATCTGAAAACATTTGGAACCCAGAAATAGAAAGTGTTTACAATAGAGATATCCGGTTCTTGCACCAAAATGTTGCTGGTGAGAGTTAAATGTAAACCGTTTAGCGTGGAAATGCCCCACGTGCGCTATGCATTGTGGGAATATGGCGAGCTAGACCACACCTCCAATTTAAAACAAACAAATTCAAACCCTACTAGAATAAAACACCTGCTTTCTCCTTTACGCCAAAGACATAGAAAGGCTACTGACAAAAGAGAGGATGTGAAATGTTTGCGATAAATTGGAACAATGTCACTGTTTTGCTTACGAGCATCTACTTGTGCGCATGCGCAAACGAAACATGAGCTTGGTGCCGAGTGTAGGCTGCTCTGCTCATGCAGTCCTATATAGGCGGCATAGACTATGATTAGGACGTTATTTTTTCCCCACCAGATTGAGGATATCCGGTATAAACTGTCAAGTAATCTATTTCTAGCTGGGCGCATACGTTATGTCAACATGTTTGAACAAACGAACATTTTCACAAAAAGAAACTATGAAAACGCGCACTTATTCGGTTATGCCTGTCGTCCCTTAAGGCCAGTTAAAAATCAATTCAAATTTTGAATGTCTTTAAAACAACGGGACAGTTTGAAGACACTCCTAAGGTTTTATCAACCTTTATGAAGCATGCAAAGAAGCTGTAAAGGTGGGACATAGGCTCAGGCTGAGCATGAAACTTAATGGCTTTCTGTATTTACACAAGCTCTCATTCTTTATTAAAGACACCTTGTCTGGTTAGTAGCCTACCTGCAGTGAGTTGTTGGCTTGGAATACCACTGATAGGCTGAGGCAATGGCAGAATCTCACCAGACTTGTCAGTGATTTTTACATTTCCCAGAGAGAGCCCTTGTCATTTTGTCAGCCTCCCCGTGGCTAAAGTATGCGGAGACAGCGGGGAGGGCTGTCAAACTGTGCATGCCCGCCTAAGAGCGCCTTTCCCCGGGTTGATGAGTTATAATAAGGGCCGGCCAGGTGGTGAAAATGATCAGGGAGGCAAGTCAGGACAGTGTGTGTGTCTGTGTGTCTGTGTGTGTGTGTGTGTGTCCCCGCGCGAGTGCATATAGCCTCTGTGTGTGTGTGTGTGTGTGTGTGTGTGTGTGTGTGTGTGTGTGTGTGTGTGTGTGTGTGTGTGTGTGTGTCATGTTTTTTTATATCACGGTGGGGACTTTTACCTGAATGCACACTAATCCGGTGGGGACTCGTGTCACCCTGGAGACAAACATTGAGGTCCCCACGGGTAGAGACTGCTCATTGAAGGATTGGTTTAGCGTTTAGGTTACATTTGGGTTGGGGTTAGGCATGTAATTCTGATGGTTAAGGTTAAAGGGGTAATGACACATCCCATTGACATGTCCCCACGGAGATGTGTGTGTGTGTGTGTGTGTGTGTGTGTGTGTGTGTGTGTGTGTGAGAGAGAGAGAGAGAGAGAGAGAGAGAGAGAGAGATGGGGGAGGCTTACTGAGCCGAGTATTCACTCCAGATCTTGGGGATTTTTGAGTCTCTCACTGCGGAATGTCTTCTCTAGCCTACTTTTAAAGTGAGTGTAAGCTTTGACTCAGTAAATCACCACTTACTCAGTCGAACAGATTGCCTCTAAGACAGTCCGGTTCTCTGGATGGGGAAACGTTGCTGCAAAATGAGGGTGCTGTGTTTGAACTTTGCCATCACCTGTCTGTGGCTTCTCCCTGTAGCGGTGAGTAAATCAGCGAACAGCCGCTCTTTGCTCTGCTCCTAAAGCTGTGTGGCTCATTATTAACAAATTAATTTTGGTGGCTCTGATAAGTGTTATGTTTCGGGAGATTTGCTTAGCCTATTAATTAGTAAAACTAATCTCATCATTTAGTTCTTGTCAAAGAATTAATCTCGAATTCCCTCGTGCTCTGGTTCTGCTACTGTTCATCATATTGCAGCATTGTTGCACAATCAATCAGTGGTCGTTTCTGTTTCAACAGTGTGTTTTTTTTTCTGTGTCTGAAAAAGGGAATGGTCCAATCATTTCTAAAAGATATAAACTGTTCTGTTACAAAAACGAGATATCTACCAACTTAAAAAAATTGTCCTCCAGAAATTATTTATAGCTTAAAATACAGTCAGGTTATGGTAGTTTTAAAGGATAATAGGTAAGATGACATAGTAGCAATGGTTCAGCAAATACACCAGATTATTTTGAGAAGTAGAAAGAGTTGAGAACTCAGGTTTGACTCCAGTAAGAAATGTAAGCTGCTACTTGCTGGAGACTTGATTTTGTTTCTACTGATTTGATATTCAAATTACATATCTTAAAATTGTCTAATTGAAAAGTTTGATCTATGCTGGTTTATTCAAGTAAGGACATTTGCACTGGTCTTTTGTGGGTGGCAATGGCGCAGTGGATAAGACACATGTCGGAGACCGGCATTCAATTCTCACTGCGACACATCCACTAATGTGTCCCTGAGCAAGACACTTAACCCCTGGGTGCTCCAGAGGTGTGCAACCTCTGTCATATGTAGCAATTGCAAGTTGCTTTGGATAAATGCATAAGCTAAATGCCTAATAATAATGATCTTTTGTTCTGATATGGTTTGGTTTTCTATATTCTATGTATTCTATGGGCTATATACCATCCTCAAAGTTTTAATTTGTTCCAGTCTTGTGGTCTGTAATTCTCTTTCAGGCATTTAATCTGCTCTTCTGTCTTTTATTTAACTTTCTTAACTTTGCTGCATGAGCAGCTGACTGAGACATCTGTAACTTTTAACACTGAAGTTGTCAGGTGAGAACCTCAAAGCAATCTAATTTGGTGCTTTATTACTTGAAATAAATGATTGCACAGTCGTTGTCAGTTTGATAAAGTTCTATTACCCTAGGGCTTAAGAAACATTGTCACTTCGTTTTTTGTTAAGTCGTGAAAAAGTGACACATTAAGGTTCCTTTTAGCCAATGGCAACAATGTTCACTCTGTCCTTAAAATGCAATTACTGCTCTCAAGTCTCTGGGTTTTTAGTTTTTGCCTCTGCAGGTGCTTTTGCACAGGTGTTGTGCTTGCATCCACTCCACCGCTGTTGCTCAGTCGCAGTTTCTGTGCTGGCATCTTGACACAGAGCCAATGACACGGCTGTCACACAGTGGGCTCCAATTAGGGTTGGTGAGAACAGCACAGAGCTGGAGATTTAGGCGTGTAACAATAGGCACAGCTGGAGCTCACAGGAGAAGGCAGAGATTGGCACACAGGGCTGGGGTGGTTAGGGGTGATGTGAATCCCACTTGTTGGTGAGATATAATGATATCCTGGGAGCTGTTTATTCAGAAATCTTGCGGAGAATAACTTGAAACCTCCATCTGCCTTTGACACATTATGATGAAAATAGAAATCACGTCCTAAACAATGAGTGTGCAGAACTTTTTGACTAACTCATGTCTCAGTGCTCAAGAGGCAAAAAAATGTGACCTGTCTCCCTCACTAAATTCACACTTCCTCTTAAAAATGGAAGTATTTTTTTAATGAGAGAGGAAAAAAAAATCTTGACACCAGGATTCACCTGACTAGTCAGGTGGTCCCATTAGGTTTTTACCTTAACACAGTGATTTTAACTTTTTTTTATTTTTATGATTGTGTGTGTTATTCAAATATATCACGTCAACTGTGCAATGAGTCTCAGAAATATAGTCACAAATACAGCCTCACTAATGACTGGATTAATTTGATTTGAGCATTTTAACAGACACAGCAGGTGGCTTCCTGGCTTATAATCAGATGCTTCATCAATCTGAACATGCACTTAATTTTCACACTTGTTTTATATTTTTTATGCAGTACCATGTTAAACTGAGATACTTAAGATGAACTGAGATGATTTAACTAACTATTTTTCTGTATGTTACTGATGTATTCTGCTCTGTGTGAGATATGAAAACCAAACTATTACTGATAACACTATCACAAATACAACTAGTCGCACATCAAAATATGTCTTATGAGTTTGTTTCTCCACATAGATTATTTCTTGGGGGAATAAATCGCATTGCTATTTTTTGTAGGGAACATTGTAAGAACATTTTAAGAAGGTAAAGCATAATGGTGACATGTTGCAAATGTTTGGGAAAGTGAGCTTATATAAACCTTTATGTATATGTATGTACAAAATCTGAGGGACAGTAATGGGAAAGAGGAGAATGTGTATGGAGATGGAGAAATGCAATGAAGATATACAGTAAATGAATGAAACATGAACTGCTCTTTGTATGAAATAATAACATGACCAGGTGAATCCAGATGAAAGCTTAATACCATATAAATTTCAAGAAAGTAATCCAAATCAATTTAAGAATGGAAACTGGGATGACGAGGAGGAGAAAGGTGTAAAAGAGAAAGAGGGATCTTTAGTCTTTTTGAGACAGACAGCGGAGACATGTTCAGCGCAGACGGAGCTCGATATGAAGAAGATGGGGCTAACGGTTTTACCCTTTCATAAATTACGTACTATAAATGGATATTATTTTATTGATCCTCTTCAGTGTCTTCAACTGTGACCTGTGTGTTGACCATGTTCCTCTCTCTTCTAGTCATAATGATTAATACGCCCATAGATTCCATTATCAAGGTTGTTGAAAAAGAGGATTGAGAGTTTTTACAAGAGAGCGAGACAGAGCATCAGGGAGGACAGCCAAATTAAAATGTGTTAATGGCAATATGAATGTGACTGTGTGTGGGGGTGTGCATGCTCCTTATAACTGTAGTCCTTGCCTGAAGGAGCTGACCTATTGATCACAGTCAATTTCAAGTCATTCTCATTCAGAGGACACAGCACCTCAAAGCATAATTATTTGAATCGATTACTTGGTAATGTAGCTACAGTGAAACTGTCCTTCATTTGCGGTCATCCTGGTGGTCTAGAGGCCTTTCTTCTCTCTTATCTTTCTTGTCACCTCATACAGTGCATCTTACACAAAACGAATCATACTGTACTTACTGTATTTAGAGTTTTTAGTTGTTGACCGAAGAATTGTTTGTTCTCTCGCAGAGCTTAAATGGATGAATGCTTCAAAACTATCTCCAAGGTTAAACACAGCCCAAGTGTTGCTCTCAGAGTTACAAAGAAAATCTCGGAGACAGACGTCTCCAAACTTAAAAATAAAAAACAAGACCACCTGCATTCTAGACTACCACTAGGGATACAGGTAAGTGAGAAACCTGTTTCCTGTCCCGGCCATAAAAATGACCATTTAGGTCGTTTGATGAAGCACATTATTACGACCCATATTTACGTTTTTTGTGACAATGACATCTAGTGGCCATGCAACGGTAGCAAAGGAGGAAGTCGGGTGACATAAACAGCAAAAAACTATTTCACTACGTTAACCATGTCATGTGGCTTACATAACGTAGTTAAGGTCACTGGACTGTTACAGGAAATGCTCATATGTGTTGTTTTGGGAGGCATTGACAAATGACCTATTTTGTCGTTTAGGTCAGAGGACTGGTGAGAAAAAATGCTTTATAGGGATTTGGGTGAATTTACCATTTAGATTAGAAACAAGAGCACTTTACATTTTAAGATGTCCTTAATTTATGGTTTGTTCTCCACAGGTCCAGGAAACAGCCAATCCCTTGAACTTTCAGAGCCAACATTGGAGAGAGGAGGAAGGAGGAAGAGTGCACACAGTGGGAGCTGCTTTGAAGGTTAAACATATCTCCAAAGACTTACAGATCATCTCCACCAAACACAAAACACCAGCTTACGGCTCTCTCGGCCCATACGGATGGCCGCAGAATGTCTCTCAAGCCCTGGATCAGTATCTGTACCGACCTCTTCCCAAATCCAAACCTCCCGCAAAAATATCCCCAAAGGCCAAGAAGATCCTGGGCTGGGGCAATTTTTACTTTAACGTGAAAACAGTGAAGTTCAGCCTCCTAGTGACGGGGAAAATCGTGGACCACATCAACGGCACATTCAGTGTCTACTTCCGCCACAACTCGTCCCGTCTGGGAAACATATCCGTCAGCATCGTCCCTCCTTCCAAAGCTGTAGGATGGGAGGTTTTTGATCCGGCGGCTCACACCAAAAACTCAGTCCTGGTTCCGGATCTGACTTCCCAATTCCAAAGCCCACCTCAGTCCACCAGCTCTACTCCTCCAGACCAGCAGAAGCAGCAGCAGCAGGACACAATGATGGTGACCGAACTCAACTGCCGGATTGAATACCAGAGAACCAACCGGTCCAAGAAGACCAAGCCTTGCATGTACGACCCGGGGCAGACCTGCTACTCTGAAAACACCCAGTCCCAGGCAGCCTGGATCTGTGCCAAACCCTTTAAGGTTATATGCATCTTCATTGCCTTCACTGGTACCGATTACAGGCTGGTGCAGAAAATCTGTCCAGACCACAACTATCAGACAGAGCAGAACCAGCAGCACTTCGGATGACTCAGATTCTGAGATGCTGAAACACGGACTTTACATACATCCTTCAAAATCATATGTTCAGTTTTCAAACTAGTTTCAAACTGTTTTATATGCCATTAAAAACATGTTTTCCACATGTCAGTGAGTGCAGTTTGAGCCAAAACTTGTGTTAATATCAGCATTGACTGTTAGCGATGACATTTATAACGTGTGCTTTGTTTTGTCTGAAACTAAACTCATCTGCCAAAAGCTCCACATTGTTTTTAAAAGAAAGCAGTGACTTAATTCATGAGATCACTTTGTGTGTTGTGTTTTATGAATTTTGTTTTCTGAATATGAAAAATTTGTTTTTTTGCCTCAATAATAATAATACAAAACAGATATATAGTTAGGGACAGAATCATCTGTACTTTTTGAAACATGGACTTGGACATGGACAGTGCTTTTTAATATGAAATGAATGATTCATAAGATATTTATTCTTCAAAGAACTGTTACAGAGTGAGATGAAGCAGTCACTTTAATCAGTGATACAAAGTTCCCATGCCCTTGGCTTTCCTCCAGTACTGGTTTTACTTTCACCCTTTGTACCTTCAAAAGTTTTCCCAGCCCTCTGCTGTCACAGTCATGTTTTCTCTTTCATTACGGCAAAAATTACAGGTGAGTTCATTTGTTTTATAATGTATTTAATCTAGAGCTTTTTGAAATGTACACATAGATCCACATGGATCTGCATTAGAAGATCTCCCCCCGCCCCTAAGAGCAATTGTAACTAAATCACTTTTTACTACAAACTAGGTCAGCTTGTCACTGCAGGCCTGAAAAAAAATGTCTGTTTTGAAGATGCACATTATGTACGACTTTGTGTTGTATTTTGAATTTGTCAAAAGAGAAAAGAGTGCTACTGTCTGTCCCAGAATATGTTTTGTTGTTGAAGGAAAGTTGACTGTAAACTCTGCTCTTCATGCAAGGCTTAATATACTCAAGGCTTAGAAAACATAATGAACACAAAAGATGAAAGGAGGCTTGTTTAAACATATATTTATGCGTGTACAGTAATCTGTCTATTAGCCCAAAGTAACACAGTTACGTAACTATCATGCAGCTACAAGCTGCCTTCAACAAACAAGAGTCTGATAAATAAGTCACTGCGTGTGTGGCCAACCCACATTACACTTTTCATGTCCAAGGTTTTAACCGCTCCACGGAATAACACGCTTGCTTTTTCACTGCCTTTCATTTAATGGATTGTTTAGAACATCAAAAGACACATTATTCTAACTCCCTTGTTTCCAAACCCCTGGTGCAAAGTATTATAATTTTGAGTGATGAAAGTGTTTTTGCACAGGCTCACTCTTCCTGAGGTTTTCAAAAGACACCAAAGGAGCAATCTTGGACAACAACAACAAAAAAGAACCCCTCAGAAACCTTTTCACTCTGCACAGACACTTTATAGCACAATGAAGAGTTTTATCGAATCCTGTGACTTTTTTGTTTCCCCATTAAAGTTTCATTAACTACACTGAGTTGTTAAATAGAATAGTGCGTTTAAAGAAATACAGCACCATCTCTCTAGGGTCTTCCCAAACACTACTAACATATTATTTACAGTGACAGAGAGCAGTTGGAGTGGAAGTTTAGTTTAGTTAACTGAAATGATTATTGGGTGTTCATCCACCACCCCATGCAGCCCCTCTTCCTCAGGGTTTCAGGATTTTTGGGCCGAGAGGGGCAGGTCACAGTGGAGTCTTGCAGACATGGCCTCGGAAGCAGCAGCGGGTGGACAGGACAGAACAGCCTGGCCCAGGACGATCCAGAGATGTGGAGCCTTCTGCAGCAGGAGAAGGACAGGCAGCGTCGGGGACTGGAGCTCATCGCATCAGAGGTGAGACCCACATATTAAGAGAATACTGTGAAAGTGTCCTACACAGCCCTGAATACTATATTCATTTAAAATATAATACCTTATGTAACCCTCTCAGAAATGGTTAATTTTCATCAGGTGATTCCACAAAAAAAAAAAAAAACACTTAGATTACTGGATTCTTTGCATCTTAGATATAACATATATAATCCTCATTGTAAAAACACCATTCAGATGTAGGCGGTATGTAAACTGTGATGACCCATGACCACCACTCTGGTGAGGAGAATCAAAAGTGACTACTTAAATGTTTGTTCATTATTTCTTTTTTGCAGGTGAATTTCTCTCACGTCTTACCTACGTGATCCATTCTGATTGTTGGTAGATAAAGTTGGGCCAGAATATAATTTCAGCCAAAAAACAGATAGCAGACGGATTACACCACTCTACAAACATACATTAAACATTTGGATCTCACTTAACTGTCAACCATGGTGGAAATTTGTCAAGGCTCTTCCTGTATACTAAATTTCATGGAGGACCCTTACAGCCCCACAGACTAAAACAGATAAAGTCAGTTCATATATTTAAATGTAAAATCATCTGGAAATATCACAGTATGTGCAAAATAATAGCTAGATCATTACTTGCATGTTACTTTACTTTCTTCTGCAGGACAGTAGCTGCTCAAACTGTGAATATAGGCGATGAAGAGATGTTGCTAATTATCCTTTGTGCTTTCCTGTGGACAAAGATGTTTAGCATTGCAGTATGTGAGAGAGGAAGCAAGAAAAACAACTTAAACTGCAGAGGAGCCTCCTTTGGCAGTGTAAACCAGAGTTGTAGTTTCTAGAATTCAACTGTTCATCGAGACTTCCTTCATATTTGTCACTGATTTCATCTAAGTGGAAGCTGTGGGGAAAGAAGGGAGCTTTCATTCTTTTATTCTCCGGCAATTATGAATCCACAGCATTATCAGCCACAATGACATCTGAAAGATATTCATTTTCTTGTGCATGTGCTGTCAGTTGCCGCTGCAGCCTGATTCCCAACGGAGAGCCCCCGTTTTTTTTATTCAGGAACACAGTCAAATGATCCCATTAGGTTCCCTAGCTGATTTTTGCCATTGATCTTCACATTCTAAGTTGAGACAGATGAGGAGAGGCGACCGTTTATGTGTATGTTGAGATTGTGTTTTGAAATGTCATAGAGTGAGTCACATGGGGGACTGGTTTTAAATCCCCCTGGAATGATTGAGGGATCCCTGAACAGTGACAGGTTTAGTATAATAACAAGGCAGAGGGGGCGGCTGAGGAGGACAGAGAGCGACAGAGATAGAGAAGATGAGCAGAAGTGAGAGTGGGAGAAAAAAAATACTGAGACAGAGAGAACAATTCATTTACATTCATTTCCTTCTTTGCACCTCCATCTCTCCTCTGACTGACTGAAGTGGTTTGGGGAGATTTGACACTGAACCCCACAGGGATTCAGTATTAGTTAGATTCCTCTATATTCATCCCTTAATCTGTAGCACTTCTAATACTTTAATATTTTTAGATAAGCTAATTTAATTCATTTTTTGCAGCTAAGATTTATGAAACAAATTTAACATATTTAAATAGACTTAACTTGGCATTAAGCTCCAAATATATAGTTGAACAATATTATATATATTGGACTGTAGTTGTACTGTGTAACTGGGACTTTCTGAAAACTGAATTGGGTGCTCAATTACCTGTCTCTAGGTAAATAAAGGTTATTTTTGGATGGTGACAATGTTCTGAATATAAAGCATGATAAAATAAAAAAAGTACAGCGTGTGGCTCTGGATCTTGACACTGTGCTTGTTTGTCCTGTCAGAACTTCTGCAGCCGTGCAGCACTCGAGGCCCAGGGCTCCTGTCTAAACAACAAATACTCTGAGGGATACCCAGGACAAAGGTACATGGATAGTGCACTTTTCAAAATACTCTATAATGTTGCAATCATTACAAAACATTGAAAGATTTTCAGAAGCCTAAGTTTTACTTTTTGTGAAATGTAATTTTTAAACTGTGAGTGACTCAGGCTCCTAGACCAGGGTGTAAATGATGCAATTTAACATAATGCGATACTGTGCAACAAACAAAACAAAAACAAAAACAATATTATACGAAATAATATGACCTGATACAACACAAAAGGATACTACACATCATAATACTATGTAAAACATATGTGATGATAGCACAGTCCGATAAGATACAAAATTAAACGATCTATGACACAATACAAAATCATACAATGAAACAATATTAAACATTAAAACACGATGCAAAATGATACAACACATAAATAAAATTATACAACTGATAATGATACAATACAATGTGATGCAATACAGAAATGATGATACATGTGATACAATATGATGATGAGTAAGTAAGGAGTTCAAGTGTTGCGGGGTCTTATTCATGTGTGAGGGTGTGAAATAGACAGGTGAAGTTGTCTAGTGTCAGCAGTAATGAAGCCTTAGATTTAGGGTTAGGAGCTCAGATACCCAGGAGCAGTTCAGTGTATAGTTGCCGCCCAGGGTAGATGCAACACACGCTGGAGAGATTATATATCTCATCTAGGTTGGTAACAGCTCAGGATCCCTAAGAAGGAGCTGGATGACGTTGCTGGAGGGAGGGAGGTACGGACCCCTTGCTCAGCGGAAAATGGATGGATGGGTGGATACAATACAAAATTCTACCATATGATACAATAAAAAACAATACGATAAAATACTAAATGATACAGTACAAAACAAAACGATATAATATTAAACGATTAATGCCTTTTGTGTTTGTGAGGTACTATGGAGGTGCAGAGATTGTAGACCAGATTGAGCTGCTGTGTCAGAAGCGAGCACTCACTGCCTTCAGTCTGGACCCAAATCTGTGGGGAGTCAACGTCCAGCCATATTCTGGATCCCCCGCTAACTTTGCAGCCTACACATCTGTACTGGAGCCCCATGACCGCATTATGGGTCTGGATCTGCCTGACGGGGGACAGTGAGTGAACATGTTTAGCCAAAGATACTCAAATATAGAGTTTCTTTTATTTATCTGTACACAAGGAAAAATGTAACAACTGATAGAGACAACACTCTTAATCACACCAAAATCAAATAATGTTGCCTCCCACAAAAAAATACATGCCAGGAGAATATTTAAAGGAGTAAATCTAATTATACCTCCCCTTGATTTTGAACAATAGTAAAATTAAATTGGATTGTGTTTTTCCTAGAGTTAACAATCAAATTTTACTTTTTTGATGGACCAAACATACCATAACACTGACTAATGATGTAATAACATCAACATAAGCCATGATTGCTGGGTAAAGAGTAATAATGTGATGTTGTGGATCACTGGATTTTCCTAACAACGAATTATTAGATAATCTTATTCAATGTATAAAGATAGACATGTTATGACATTTTCTGACTGTTGTAATGTGCCGTGAAATGTTTTATGATTTTGCC